CGTACCTTGGGAAGTCTGATCTGGCCACAGTGGTCCCGCTCTTGTTACATCCAATAGATTACTGCAACGCACTCTACGTGGGGTTGCCTTTGAAGACTGTTCGGAAACTTCAATTAGTCCAAGGCGGCAGCCAGATTACTCACTGGAGTGTCATGCAGGGAGCACACCACCCCGTTATGTCAGCTCCACTGGCTGCCGATCCAGTTCGAGCACAATTCAAAGTGCTGGTCTTGACCTATAAAACCCTATATAGTTCTGGCCCAGTATATCCTTCTATGTCCCACCGCAGAGTTTACGATCTTCTGGGGAGGCCCTGCTCTCGGCCCTGCCTCTGTCACAAACACCTTCTCGGTGGTGGCCCCCCGCCTGTGGAATTCACTTCCTGGTGAAAGAAGGAAAGCTTGGAGGGGAGGAGGAGGGAACTGCGGAGCCCCTCAGTATGGATCGTGGGACCCTAAGGGCTTCCCGAAGCATACTTCTGAGAACTTCTGCTCTAATCAAACCACAATCATTTGCCCATTTCTATGAAATGTATCTGATTTGATGACCATTCCTTCAGTTTAGGTAGCATTGAATTCTTTCAACTTTACTCATAAAACAATCTTGCTGACATATTCATATAATCTTCCATTATCCTTCTATTTCCTAATTTGACGTCTATTATTCCAAAAGGAAATGTTCTGGTTGAACATTATTTTTTAAAGTGAATAAACATTCCTTGAGGCAACTCAGGGTGTCAGTTTCAGGCCATAAAGTGGGCAGAACTAGCATTTTGCATGGCAGTTCCATCCTGCATTTTGTGTCTGTGTAGAACTAGCCCTAGGGTGCTACAGAATGGGATCAAATAAAATATTCTCCTTTAAAGGCTTTGCCAGTCAGTAAAACTGTCAAAATCTCTGCCCAGCTTTGCCTCTGTGATTCCTGCCATGGTAATTGTTGGAAGAAACAATTACTCAGGAAAAACTAGTCAGGATTACCTACTCTTCATTCAGAAGTACTGTCCATCCATAGACCTGAGTTTTAAATAATTCATATGCAGAAAATATTGTTCATACATTTTATTAAAATAAAATGAGCATGCTTCAAAAAACACAGAACAATCATTTCTGAAAAACAATGAATATGAAATTTAAGACTACATTGTATTGCTTAAATAGAAAATCTTGGTCGTTTATGCTGTTTTCATTATGTAAAGGATGAACTAAAACACAGATCATTAAAGTGACCAGTTCTCTTTGTACAAAATTCCCTTTATCAACTGATTTAAATAAAAGTTTCCCTTTAGGGTCAGCATCTCTTGAGGACTTACTAAAATGGCACCTTCGTTGTATCAATCTTGTTATAGCTCCTTTGCTTTTCACAATATGTTGTTTATGTAGAAATATAGAAGCAATGCATCCCTAAAGTTTATCCTCTTACTATCCATCAAGTTAAAGAAGGAATAGAGGTCACCAAGGCATGTTTGCAGTACAAATTTTGGCCTAACTCCATTTACGAATTTCAGGTAAAATAGGGGCATTGAGTTAATGAAATTTATTTAAGTGTTAGCTTACCAAATTCATTTTGGGTTAATAGATATTCCTAATAACTGGATTTAATCCTTAAGACTGTAGGAGGAGGAATGTGGAGCCCACCAGATGTGGAACAGCAAGTCCCAGTAGCGGTAGCCGTAGCCAGGATTATAATCAGGGATTATATGCAACATCTAGAGGGCTGAACAATTCCCACCCCTGGATTAGAGTAACAGACATTCCATCTTTCCAGTGGATCCTGGGAATCATATTACTGTGAAAGGCAAGTGAGGAATACCAAAACATCTCACCAGGTGCATGTGGAAAACAAGACAGATTACATACCCCCCTGAAGGATAAGGTTGAGCAAAACATGCTCTACACTTTTCTGATGGTCTGACAAAGTGGTTCTATTACTATTATTACTATTATTATTTGAAACACAACAAGATGAGTCCACAGCAGACAAGATCACTCTGCTGGCTGTTGTATTGGATCACACATTGGACACTTCCCAAGTGTCTAGGACTGTGTAATGTATCGGCAAATAATAATAATAATAATAATAATAATAATAATAATAATAATAATTATTATTATTATTATTATTTAAATCCCCGTATCCATAAATCCCTCAGTATTTTTAAGCTCACAGCACAATTTTATATATGGCTTCTCAGAGGGAGCTCCCATTGGTTAAGTGGGACATACTCCCAGTATATAGAGATAGGGTTGTGGCATCAGAAATCTTTATTTTCTTGATTCATTGCCTTTTAATGTTTATCATTTCCCTATTGTCTTACTAATTATTGCAGCATGGAGACTACTGCAGTTCTTGGCACAAGTATATATTTATGTACCATCAACAGATGCCATATGAGGAATTTTCAAAAGACTCCATGTTGGCTGCTGATGTGGATTGCACAAGACAGGATCTTGGCCCAGGTTCCAATGATCCACTGGATCCTGCTGCTTCTGCCAAAATTAGCAATCCCTATTCTTCTTGTAGCCACTCAGGCATGCTAAAAATCTACTTTAGATGACACAGAAATCCCTTTCTGAAATATGAGGATATTTTAGAGAGTAAAATGTTGATGTATTCCTAAATATTCTTGTCTTAATCCTTGGTAACTATATTAATTTGGATGAAACATACTTCTAACTTCCATGTCAGTCAAAAATGTCATTTTCAGCTAACAAAATACACTATATTACAGTATCTATTATCCTCCAAACATGAAAAATGAAATTCACATCTCGCTTCTTTTGTTGCTTAATTTACAATATAAAATGTCTTTATCAACATTTAAAAAATCAGTAATACAAAATGTGACATGTATTTATACAAATTGTGCTTTCATAGATGCATTTACAATGCGTAGCGTATTGCCTTATACATACATCCCCTACTAGTCCTGCCAAATCTCCATTAGGTTCAACCGCATTTGGACAGGAACAGGGAAAGGAGGTTTGGACCTTACAATTAAAGATACACTATGAAATCATTTAGATAAAGTCATATAAATCTTGCCTATACAAAGTTATTGCAACATCATATAACTGATACAGACTTGGCACTAGTTCCACAGGCTTTTTATACATCCAGACTCCCATCAGTTCTAGTCATGTGAAACCCTGAGGCCCTGTTTGTAGGGAATGTGCATCCCAACCTCATCCTCACTGAATGTGAATTGGTATAGGTTTTTGTACACGATTGCCTTAGTGCAGTGGTTCTCAACCTGTGGATCCCCAGATGTTTAGGCCTTCAACTCCCAGAAATCCTAACTGCTGGTAAACTGGCTGGGATTTCTGGGAGCTGGAGGCCAAAACACCTGGGGACCCACAGGTTGAGAACCTCTGCTTTAGTGGATCAAGGCATAGAAGCTGATGGTTTCTCTACACCAGTAGTTCTTAACCTGTGGGTTCCCAGGTGTTTTGACCTACAACTCCCAGAAATCCCAGCCAGTTTACTAGCTGTTGGGATTTCTGGGAGTTGAAGGCCAAAACATCTGGGGACTTATAGGTTGGGAACCACTGCTGTACACTTTAATAAGAGCAAAGAACCTGTTTTCACCTGAGAGTGATTTCATTTTCAGGGAAGACTTTGGGGACCGTTGATGGGTGAGATCAAAGGCAAAAAAAGGTGGTTTAAAATGCCGGCATGTTTTAGTTTAAAGTTCTTAAAGTCTTAGAAGTGTCATTTTATCCTTTCAAAAAGAGTGAGAGGATGTTCAAAAGGCCTAGAAACCATCATATGAAGTTATGAAGGTTCATATTCAAACTGGGGGCCTGAATTTCTCCACCTCAACCCATAACATTACACTCTGTTCACATTAAATCAATTCAATGACATGTGGGATAGAGCAAAATGAAAATTTAGTGCCTCCTGAGTAGTATAGTGGGAAAAATTAAGATGCACAAAGTTCTCTGTTCTTTCAGTAGGGCTTCTTTTCCATAAGTGGCTTGGAAAAAGTAGACCAAATCTTAAATGGCCTCTTATTGCACAAAAAGGTAACAAGGGACAGGGGGGAAATTAATTTTTTAGCTTTTGGCATACACTTCCTTTTAAAATCAAAGAGTGGCTACAACTGTATTCAATATCTTAGGCAATTATAAAAGATTAATACTTTTGTTGCAACAAAACTACATATTTGATAAGAAAATTACATTTTTGTTCTCCTTTCCCCTGTACTGGGGACACGCAGCAGCAAAATACATTTCTCCATTCAAACAATGACAATTAACAGCCTGTTCATTTTATGGGAATGTTGAGAATTCCAAATTCTAGACCAGGGGTCCTCAAACGTTTTAAACAGAGGGCCAGGTCACAGACCCTCAAACTGTTGGAGGGCCGGATTATAATTTGAAAAAAAATGAATTCCTATGCACACTGAACATATGTTATTTGTAGTGCAAAATAACTTTAAAACAATACAATAATTAAAATGAACAATTTTAACAAATATAAATTTATTAGTATTTCAATGGGAAGTGTGGACCTGCTTTTGGCTGATGAGATAGGATTGTTCTTGTTATTGTGTGCTTTCAAGTCATTACAGACTTAGGTTGACCCTAAGCGAGGGCCGGGTAAATGACCTTGGAGGGCCACATTCAGCCCCTGGGCCTTAGTTTGAGGACCCTTGTTCTAGAAGGACCAGAATGCTTGAACATCCTGTGCATTGGTCTAATACAATTCATGTTGGACTGAAACAGGGATTATGAAACTCTTTCTTTTGGCTTTGATACTACTAAACACAAGACATTCATACACCCAAGAATTATCGTTTGTGTTCTCATACAAATGATTGTCACCAGCAAGTGTGAGAAGTTTCATTGTTCAGGTAGTAAACCCAAACTAGAATGGCTGGGGCATAAATTAACACAATATTGTACAGATGTCAATACTGAATGCAGTCATGGTTTTGCTGCAGTATTCATGATAAAAAGTAATATTTCAAATTAAATCATAATCTAATATGAATTAGATTTCAAAGTAACTTTCTTAATTTAGTGTAGTGACCTTTTGGACATTTGTAGGCTGGCCATATTTTAATGTTGACATTTATACTGACATCTGTACTCAAATAGGAAAAGGGGCATTAACAAGCATATGTTTTGCTCCTCACAGCTGAAATTGTTCCAGGCGTTCCATAGTTTATGGCAGGGGTCCTCAAACTTTCTAAACAGAGGGCCAGGTCACAGTCCCTCAAACTGTTGGAGGGCCGGATTATAATTTGAAAAAAATGAAAGAATGAATTCCTATGCACACTGCACATATCTTATTTGTAGTGCAAAAAAACACTTTAAAACAATGCAATATTAAAATGAAGAACAATTTTAGCAAATATGAACATATTAGTATTTCAATGGGAAGTGTAGGCCTGCTTTTGGCTGATGAGATAGGATTGTTGTTGTTGTCTGCTTTCGAGTCATTTCAGACTTAGGTTGACCCTGAGTGAGGGCCGGGTAAATAACCTTGGAGGGCCGGATTCGGCCTCCGGGACTTAGTTTGAGGACCCCTGGTCTATGGTTTTAAAAAGATGTTGAGATATAGAGCCTGTGCCAGTACACAGCTAAGAGCTTTTGAAGTTTACAATAATAAAAACGTGTAATAACTGTGATACACTGAATTGTATTCATGAATAAAAAGCAAGAAAATGAGACAATATCTTTGGTCCCAACAGCCCATTTTTAATATAAAAAGATTATTGCAGTATTTTAAAAATATTTTCCCTCAAAAAGACTTTTTTAGAAAGTCAAATATTAGAGCAACAGAACATTATTGGGAAAACAAATAAACATGGAATTTCAGTAAGGAAAAAAAATCACAATTAAAAGGTTTAAGATTATAAAAACTTTTAAAATGTTGCCTCTGGCACTGGAATTCTATGTAGTTCACAACGGTTTTACTAAACACTTTAGAAAAGGAGGTGCAAACAGAAAAGAGAACCCTCCCTTTGCCATAACTAAATATATTCTCACAGAGAAATAAAAATTATAGAAAAAAAATCCCAGAACAATGTTAACAACAGCTGACATTGAAGAGGTAGGTAACAATTTTGTGTTATTATTGCCCATACTGAATGTCCAAATCCCCAGAGTGAAATGCTTGTCAGGAAATGCAGAGTCTAATACTCCAGGCCACTTTACAAATAGCCAAATGTTAGCCTGCTTCTTTGGTGAAATGGTAGCATTGCATCTCCACCCTAGGAATGATTGAATAGGATTATGCCATAGGAACCTTTTATGTGCTATACCTCATCAACACATGGAAGATATTCTGACTATTTCTGAAACTGAACTTCTGTTTCGGATACAATGGTGGTGCACACATGCAAGGGAAGCTGTGGATAGATGGTAATCTTCATGTGGGACATAGATATTTTGCACACAAGCTTTTCAAGTATAGGAAGCAATGCATATGAAAGGTATTCCAGCTTTTAAAATAATTACATTAGTGTTTTATTTCATGTCAGGCGTGAACTGCAAGTTGCTTCTGGTATGAGAGAATTGGCCGTATGGAAGGTCGTTACCCAGGGGACGCCCAGATGTTTGATGTTTTGCCATCCTTGTGGGAGGCTTCTCTCATGTCCCCGCATGGGGAGCTGGAGCTGACAGAGAGAACTTGCTCTCCCCGGTTTCGAATCGCCGACCTGTCAGTCAGCAGTCCTGCTGGCACAAGGGTTTAACCCATTGTGCCACCGGGGGCTCCATATTAGTGTTAGAAAGTACAGCCATAACTAATTGTAATTAAGATGGCTTTGGGTTTTAAGTTCTTATATATAAGAAAATGGGCATTTATTTAACACCACTGTGACACAATTCTCACATAATAAGATGTACACCTCTCCAGATAAGAGCAACACTGTACATATTATTTATGTTTTGCTTCCTGTATGTAGACCATTCTACTTCTTTACACAAACCAAACAGACTATCAACAAATGTTGATGAGAGATCTGTGTAACTCTTTTTTCCTAACCGTGTGATGAATTTTGCCATAGGTTTGTTAATATGTGAGGTTGCCAATATCCAACACATCTCGGACACAAGACTGATTTCCTCATCAAGCTCAGGTTTGTAAAACGAAATAGCATTTTTTCTTTAAATTAAAGAATCAGAGAAGCCTAAGGATGTTGTTCTATAAATATATGCCAATGGTATTAAGCAAAGGCAGAAAGCCTCCCAATGACTCCTCTTGCTATCACTCAGCTATATGGGAGCACTTTATGGGACGGAGTTAGAAGCCCAAACTCACAAGAAAGGAACACCAAGATCTCCACTTCCCGGGAGGGAAAACACTGGGGTAATCCTTCTGTAGTGTATGAGGAACCTTACTCCTTGATAACACCAGAGCAGACTCGGATCCATGCAGAAATAACTAATGTATTAGTTTGAACAACCAATTGAGTTCAACAACTTTCACATTTCTCAGGGGAACAACTCCAAGGATAAGACATTGAACAAAATGTAGGAAAAGTGTAATGTCCTCATCGTGTTTAACCACTTGAAAGACCAGGTTCAGAATATGATGCAGCAAAAAAAATTCACTATGCAGTGGTGCATTAAGTGAACAACTTCTTCTTGAAGAAAAACAGAAAATGCCAAACTGCCCTGTAATAACACGTGTTTTTAAAGAGTCTAGGTAAAAAAAAGATAAATAAAAAAATCTTGGAGGTAATTATTTAATCTTGTCGTATATGCTCTAGTTTAACTATTTCTCTTAATTTATGAAACAGAAGAGTATTTTGTTAAGTCTTATGGTATCATGGCTATATATATGGCTCTATATATCTTTAAACCATTTTTAAACCTTGAATATACATTTCTTAATTTTATTAATTCTCTCTCACTTGGTTCTTCCTCTTCATCTCTTTCTGATTGTGATCAGCCCAAATTGAGTGGAGTATCTTCCATGCATAATAAGAAAGCATCATTTTAGTAATGACTTGGCTGTATGTTTTTTTTTTTTTTTTTTTTGCCAGAAGAGGTAACAAATGAATCCACATAATAACAAAACTAAGGCTGGAATCCTTCACAGATAATCTATACAGCGTAGGTGCTGGAGGTGCAGGAAATACCACTGAACTTAGTGAAGTTTACTTCTTAGTAGACCAACATGAACTGCATGGGAATCCCACTTTAATTTCTGTATTGGCTTTAAACTTTTCTAGCATCAATGCATTTGTGTGGTAATTTAAGTAAACAGATACAGATAATCAATCCCCATTTCCATTTCTGCCCCTGCCTTCTTCATGTGGTTGTGTTGTTTATAATCTGTAATATACAAGCCAACAGAATCCTCACAATAGGATTGGATCTTGGTGTGATTTTTTCCCCCTTATTGCAATAACTGTTGAATAAAAGGGAAGTTCTCCTGTACTGACTCGTTCAGGATAAATAAGACATGGAACAAGTGGTGACTTCTGTAAGGTTTGCCTGAGGTACTTCAGATAAATTTCAATCTTTACATTTCCCCCCCTATTCAAATCAAAACACCAAGCCTTTAAAAAAAATCTAAGAATTTCCATTCATAGCGTTTTAGTTAAGATTTTGGACCTGTTGTCACAGCTCCAGAGAAAGCAATGGGGCCAGAAAAAAAGTGAGAAGTGAATAAACAAACCAAACCCATTGTTTTCATTTTCACTGAGCATTTAAGTGGCTAGTCTGTTGTGCACTTCATACGCATTCCTGGACAATATCTTCAAACTGTGAAGTTCTGGTGACCAAACAGTAGTGGTTAGTTGGCAGTGAGTGCTGTAAGTGAGTTCTTCTGCTAGGCAGATTCTCTCAGTCCGATTCAGTTGCTCTAAGAAATGTCTTAAGCAGAATCAGTTCCCTCCCAAATACCCCTTTCTCCTCATTTGCATACCAAAAAAATAAATGAAGCTGGTCCTTCAAAAGCTGGACCAATGTATACCAACAACTTTTTCTTTAGATCTTCAGATGCTTGTCAGTGCTGCTGAAAAAAAAAAGTCTCTTAACTCCAACAAAGATCCACCTGGCACCAAGCAGTTCAGTATCTGATTGTCTTGATGTAATAAAAGACTTTAAAAATTCCGAAGTACATTTTACAAAATACAGAACATTGAATCACTTAAAGTGGATGCTGCAGCTGCGTTGCATTGAGAGAATTCTTTAGCGAGTTAAGAAAAGAATGAATGCAACCATGACTTCTAACTTCCTGGGTGTTATCTCTTTGTTGTACATTGCATCTTCCCAACTGATAGAGGTAAGACAAGTACCTAAGCAAGCCTGTTAAAATCCATAAACACACCTTGAAGAAAATGCACATTCTGGCATCAGTTGCTCTTTCATCTACTCAGAATTCCTTTCTACAGCAGCCAGGAACGTCGCCTCCATTCCTGGTGTTGTTGCTGGTGCCACAAGCAGTCTTTCCCTCAGGGGTCACGCCGAGGCTTGAATGTAGTCACTTTTTGGGGTTGCTACCCTTAGGTATTCTGGATTCTCAGCTGTAGGAATCTTAGGGAAGCCGTTAGATTTGGTCCCATTCGGCAAGAAATCATGCTGGTAATCCGGATTGTCCAGATTGATTTGCGGGTTGTCTTTCTGGCCCAAGAAGGGAGAGCTGTCAAAAATTGTATTCGCAAAAGGAGAGAGACTTGTGTTGAGATACTCCGGATTGTCCAGTGCTGTGCTGTGGGGATTCTGATGGTTTGAATCAACCGCATGTTTGGGCTCAATTGGAAGGGAGAAATTGTTGTAGACTGGGGTTTGCATGACAGGAGCAGATGGGGTTTTGGCCGCCAGTTGGTTCATGTATTCTGAAAATATTTCAAGAAAACAAAGGTGGAAGAGAATTAGCTCAATTGCAAAAGTGACTTTAATCAAAGCAAGTATTAAATTTGCAGAAAACTATCCTTGTTGTTCTCCCTTTTGCCCAGCAACTATTTGCTAATTAAAGAAATTTCTTGCTTTTCTGGATTTTTATAGTGTTGCCAAATACATTACTATGCCTGTTTGATGCATTTTATTAAATACTCTTTTGAGTTATATTAAAACAAAGCCAGCTCCTATCCATGAACTCATGCATTAAGAAAAAAATGTAGTGTGAAATGAACCCAGATGTGAGAAAAAAGATTTTTTCTGATGGGTCTTAAAGCTCATATGACAAAAGAACTTAAGGCAACAGAAGGGCATTGTGTCAGAGTCTGGGATCAACATGTCAGTCATAAAGGTAAAGGTCCAGTCGTGTCTGACTCTGGGGGTTGGTGCTCATCTCCATTTCTAAGCCGAAGAGCTGGCGTTGTCCATAGACACCTCCAAGGTCATGTGGCCAGCATGACTGCATGCAGCACCGTTATCTTCCCGCCGGAGTGGTACCTATTCATCTACTCACACTTGTATGTTTTCGAACTGCTAGGTTGGCAGAAGCTGGGACTAACAGCGGGAGCTCACGCCGCTATCTGGATTCAAACCTGTAACCTTTCAGTCAACAAGTTCAGCAGCTCAGTGGTTTAACCCACTGCGCAGTATTTACATCGAATAAATTGTATGTATTTGAGTTGTTATACAAACTACATAGATGCACCTGAAATTCATATTAGTTTCAGGACCTCTGAATCAAATAGTCATGGTTGCTAAGCGTTAGGGCTTCTTATCTACCATTCCTACAATTTCAATATACTATATATACTTGAGTATAAGTCTAATTTTTCAGCCCCTTTTTTAGGCTGAAAAAAATCCCCTCGGCTTATACTTGAGTCAAGGTTGTTTATTATTTTACTCTGCTATTAGTATTATTTTTATTACATTTATTATTTTACTCTATTATTTTTATTACATGTATTATTTTACTCTATTATTATTACATTTACATTATTTTACTGTATTATTATATTTATTGCATTTATTATTTTACTCTATTATTGTTATTATTTATTACTTTATTATTATTACTATTATTATTAAATTTCCATTATTTACTCTATTATTATTTTTATTACATGTTATTACATTTATTATTTTATTCTATCATTATAGGTAATAGGTAAGCACATTTACATTGAAGGAGGTTAGAATGATGGTTGAATCAGAGTTGGGCAGTCTTATCTTAAATTACAGTTTTGTGTAAATACTCAAAAACATTTAACCTACTGATGATTACCAGTAACAGCAACATTTCTCACCCTCGGCTTATACTCAAGCCAATACGTTTTTCCATTTTTTGTGTGGTAAAATTAGGTCCCTCGGCTTATATTCGGGTCAGCTTATACTTGAGTACATACGGGAGTTTACCACACACAGATATTTCTTAAGTGCACTTACACAGAAAATAAATCTTCACTTTGAATCTGGTATCTTTTACCTACCCTAAAATGAACTCACTTTTGTGACAATGATGATGTGCAAACAATTGTCAGATCACCAAAATATACACTGCATATATCGATCAAACAACATCTCAGTCAGACAAACTGTCAGAGATGGGAAGTCTGCATATTCACCTGGAGCAGGTAGAAAACCATCATCCAGACTGTCATCCAGGCAATTTCTTGTTGGGTCTGAACTGTATCGCTGGATAAAGCTGTCTTCTCTCATTCGACATCCCTACAGGTTAGGATAGATTGAAAGAGGAAATCTGAAGCACACAATTGCTGACAGCGAGACACGGCCATTTCAATGTTAAAGCTAAACTTGGATGACTTGTGGACAGGTGTTTCTTTTAGACTGTCACTGATAGATAGCAAAAAGAACCAGGAAGTAATAGCTGCTGCCAGTAATTGCAATTGGTTCAAACTTACCCCGTTAATATCCAAGCAGGTTACAGCTGCAGAATTATCACTAGTAGCACTCTAAAACAGAAGAGAAAAGGCTTTTATTGTTTTTGTTTTAACATAGGAAGTTGGCATCTTAGAGTATTGTTGTCGTCAATATTATTATTATTATTATTATTATTATTATTATATTGCTTGCCTCTTCTTGAGACTCATAATTTGTTGCATAAAATCCAGGCAAGTAAAGCTGTGGTTTTTGCTACAAAATGCTAGTTTAACTATGCTTCTGCAATTTCTCAAGATTTTTGGAAACACGTGCATACCAGTGAACTTAGGAGAGGTGTCCGAGAATTTGATGGGCTGCTGAAAAATCCTTGGTGTGGAATGAGGTATTCATCTGCATCCACAATGTCCTCCATGTCCTCTTCTTCCATGAGGCTCCGGTAAAATTTTGAGTCTGTTGGGCTTGGTAGGTTCATTCTTTCATCACCCTGTTCCAAAGCAAATCGTAATTTGTGTTTTCAGGGTGCACTATTTTAACATCTAAAAATCCCTATACAACTGTAAAATATGAATTGAAATTGAGAAAAGGAATGCCTAAATACCTAAAAGTTGGGCATTACTTGACCGTAAATATATTAAAAAATAAGAGCTCTATTGGATCAAGTATTAGTTCAACATCCTGCTTCCCACAAGAATGAAGTTTAAAGATAAAAGCCTCCTTCTCATGTTGCTCCCCTGGTAGTTGGTATACACTGAATATCACATTTACCAAATTGTGTTTGAATGCTGGGAGTGGAATAGGGGTACCTGCACAGAAAACATCCAAGGAATTTGAAATGAAGCAAAACAAATGTTTCAATAAACTATTGGAATATTCAAGAAGATGGAGAGTGGATTCCATTCACTCTCCATCTTCTTGAATATGAGAAGTAGGAATATGTGTGGAATTTACACCGTGGGAGGTTATGTGATGTTACTAATACTTTTTTTTTTGCCTTCATTCAAATTGTTTGGATGCAGAAATGTCCACATTCCATTTGGTGACAACTTCACCAAATTGTTATCAGTCTAAAGAGATGACCAAATTATGTATTTTATAGACTGTATATGGATCCCCGATGGCGCAGTGGGTTAAACCCCTGTGTCAGCAGGATTGAATATCAACAGGTCAGAGGTGTGAATCTGGGGAAAGTGTGGATGAGCTCCCTCTGTCAGCTCCAGCTCCCCATGCGGGCACATGAGAGAAGCCTCCACAAGGATGGTAAAAAATCAAAACATCTGGGCATCCCCTGGGAAACGTCCTTGCAGATGGCCAATTCTCTTATGCCAGAAACAACTTGCAGTTTCTCAAGTAGCTCCTGACACACAAAAAATTAGACTGTACAATCAAGTGGGAATTGCCTAGTAGTACAGGCTTCTCTGTTGCTGAGAACATGGGGAAGCTATTATGTAAAATTGAAAAAGAGACAGAGTATGAAATAATTTACTCAGATTTATTCAAGTATAATGCACTATCAAATGTAATGGGCACCTCAATTTTGCCCTTGAATGTAATATGCACAACAGGGCAGGCATATCACATTAGGGAGGCAAGCATCATGAATGAGGTAATTTGGGAAGCAACACCCCTCTGCCAGGTTGAGGCTGATGAATTTGCTAGCCTCGCATGATTTCCAATTGGCCTCATTCATGAAGCCTTCAAAAATTAAGGGGGAGGTATTCAAGGCCCTGTGAATGAGGCCACTTGAGAACACATGGGAATGAGCCTGGGGGTAGGTGGGTGAGAAACCACGAGGGCCACCCAGGAGGCAGAATCCACAGCTAAGTGGCAGAATGACTGGGTCACTAGCTGGACATTCCTCCTCCTCCTTTGGACATGACAGAGCCATGAGGCTGCTGGCACCACCTGAAACAGTTTCTTGATGCCACCCTCCCTCCTCTCCCTGTCCTGTCTCTGGGGTTCTGGGTTGCTTTGGACCATGTATGTGTGCAATTCTAATGCACCATCAAATCTAATGGGCACATCAAATTTGGCAATATAATTTAGCCAAAAAAGGTGAATACTGAACTTGAGTAAAAATGGTAGGAGACTTTTTTCTCACAGTGTTCATCACTATTCCCCAATGGGCTATTTTCCTTTCATTTTTATTCTATAGTTATATATTGATATTTGCCTTTTAAAATGCTAGAATCATGCAACCTACACTAAAAAATATATTAAGGAACAGTAGTAATGTGGGAAGACAAGGTTATGAGGATGTGCAGAATAAGATTGCAGGAACACAAATTGGCAAATCAGCACAATTGCACTGTGGAAAAAAGAAGGTGCTCAACCTGGTACCTATATTTTATCATTGCAAACACAACTGTAGTGGAATAGTGCATTCAGATGATATAATGACTGTAGTCTAACTCTTTTCTGGGGGAAAGTAAGTATTATACTGTTTGATAACCAGTACCTGTATAACCAAATAGCGCTGTGGGTCCCGAGCCATTTTGGAGAATTCTGCTATCAGCTCGCGAAATTTGGGACGACTCTCTGCATCAATCATCCAACCTGAAGGACACACAAAAACATGTTGAAGGGGAAAAGAGAACCTGATATAACCCCCCACCCTCAAATAAGTGCACATAATAGGAAAAGGGTAAATAAGAGTAAATCCTGATGCTTAACACTGATCTCTAAACAATAATTAGATATGCCCCATAAAATCAAATGGTACATAGATATTATTGTTCCTCTATCATATGGGACACTTTAATGTGGTGAGGGGGTCTATGAGAAAGTGAAACAAACATGAACAATGACAAGGATCCACACAGGGTTCTGTCATAAATGCTTAGAGCTATTAAATGTGTTAACAAGCTTATTAATATCTTCCTTTTTATCTATAGCCTTGGAGAATCTTTCAAGAAATCCCAAATCCTATCGGAAGTGTGAACTTTACAATATACAGCCTCTGAAATTCAAAATAAAGACTTTTGATGCCATCTAGTGGATTGCTTGTGAATGCACACCCACCCACATTTATTTTCATAAATAGAACAGAATGTCTGCTTGGCAGAAGAACATCCTTTTGAGAGACAAGGAGAAGGGGAACCTCCTGCCAAGCCGAGGCTGGTGAACTTGCCAGTCTTGTCTTGGCAGAGGGGATGCGGCTTCTAAACTTGTTTCACTCACGGTCTGAATGAGGCCAGTTGGGAAACTGCCACTCCTCCATCAGGCTGAGGCTGGCAAGTTTAGGGGGAGGCACCCCTTCTCCTTGATAGACAAGGAAAGGGGAACATTACATTTCACAACAGGTTATTTTTGGTGATGCACACTTCAACACTGAGGTGCACATTACAATCTATGGCACATTGTACTAGAGTAAATATCGTAGTCCCATGCATATTTTTAAAATAAAAACTACAAAATTATTGTTTTCTTTGCTTTGGCTTTATATTGTTATTCTACATTTTATTAATTAATATTTGTTGTGTATCATGTTGTTTTTAGTTTATGAAAATCTGCTAAGAATTTTACAATGAAAACCAGTATATAAAAGGTAAAGCTTTCGTGACATTAAATCTAGTCCTGCCCGACTCTGTGGGGCAGTGCTCATCTTCATTTCTAAGCTGAAGAGCGGGCGTTGTCCGTAGACACCTCCAAGGTAATGTGGCCAACATGACTGCATGGAGCACCATTACCTTCCTGCCGAAGTGGTACCTATTGATCCATTCACATTTGCATGTTTTTGAACTACTAAGTTGGCAGAAGCTGGGGCTAATAGTGGGAACTCACCCCACTCCCTGGAATCGAACCACAAAAATCAGTATAAAACAACTAAAACATAATCCTATTCCAAAGCCTTCATATTTTCTAGAATCCACTTGCTTCTAATATATAAATTACAATAAAACTGGTACTAGCATTCATTCACATTATTGTTTGAAAGCATCTTTCTTAAAACCAAACCACATTGGGGGATAGGACATCACTTTGGATTATTGTTTAAGTAAGTGCTTTATTTTCCTGAGCACAACCTCAGCATGAAATACTTTTGCAACTTTTGAGTAGCTTTCTTCTCAACCATTTTTGAAAACATCTTAAAACGAACCTTTCTTGTGCTAGCAAACAATTGAAGAATGCCAAACGAATCATAATATTTCACATTTAAACAGAAGACAAACATAGTGGACAGCTTTTATGAATGCACAACAATACACTAAGTTTTATGTGGACAGAACAATCATCAAGGAATATATATTAAGCCCTTTTTGTAGAGTTCTGGTTGACTGCCACTGATATCCATAGGATTTTTCCAAAATAACTGGTGAATTGTAATTGTGTGCAATTTTTTCAGATGAATTGCAAATTAAGTGTATCTTTTAAAAATGTGTAGTGTTAACTAGATGCAAATAATACTTATTAATATTAATATCTACAAAAACAAAATGGCAAGACAATTCTGTTGAAGATAAAAACACCAGATGTGTAAATACTTGCACTTTGTTGGGGAAATTCTATTTGCATAAAAATATACTTTGTCGCCCTGTGCAGAAGACATACTTTGTGGCGGATAATGTATTTTGTACAAAATACACAATAATCATGAAGGCATCTGTTGTGCAAATGGGAGGAGAGGCTGACTTACATTTGACCATGATCATGTAGACATCGATTGTACAAACTGGAGGCTGGGGCAACCTCTCCCCCTTTTCTAAGACACAGGAAATTTCACTGGCTGGGATGCCATCATATGGTTTTGATCCAAATGTCATTAATTCCCAGACGGTGACACCTGAAATTTCACAATTGCAGAAAATTTTAAGACTCATTTAATAAAATAAGAAAGCTAGATACAAAACGGATTCACATGTTCAACAGCCTTGAGAGCATGGATATATTATTAATCTTAGCATCAGATTAGAAGGGAATCTTTTGGGGATTCCCTACAATTGGTCTGTGCTCAAGTTCAACAAAAGAATGCATTCTTCAGTAGGTATGAACTTTGTTAAATAAAGACACATTTTACAAAAGTTCACATCCTCCACTATAAGAAACAAGGCATGAGGAGATTAAATTACTCAGCTCATTAATGAGCTGCTTTTTTCCCCCATCAGCCCCATCCACACTCTGAAGTGGGACAATCCAGACATATAGATTTATAACCTCAGAGAAATAATGCTTAAATCTGTATCAAATCACATTTCTTCTGGCATATTGTTTTGGAACTGAAACATGAATAATAATAACAATTATTATTATTATTACCCCACTTTTTCTCTCCCGAAGCAGACTCAAGGTTATGCTAAACATATGAGATAATGCTTATTGCCCCATGCATATTTTGCTATATCATTTATAAAGAAATAAATGTTTTCTGTATTTTTAATTATATTTAGTGAACCGAACTATTGTGAACACCACAAAAAGAAGACAGCTCACTTTCAGAACATTATAAAAGTAAAAGAGGAATGCAAATCAGCTCACATGCCAAATCTGGTAAGATGGTAGCACTTTAACCAATCTCACTATAAAATAAGCTATACAAAGTTTATTTACAACAAATCTACTGCTTCATCTAGATTTTCCGATGGTGCCATTTACCTAACAAAGGTTATAATTTCTTTTTTATCAGTCTGTAGTGTATTGGTACTGCACAGATAATAGGATTTGCAAATTTGGACTTCCTGGTCAACGTATTTGAAACATGCATGTAATGAAGGACTTGTTAACTTGGGACTGTCTTCAGAGATTCTGTGTTGGGCATGTCATTGGGGTCTTTACAGGAGAAATGCATCCAAGGTAAGACATCCCCTTTGTGTGTCCAGTCTGGGAATCTGGCTGTGGCTTGGCATGGGGTTTAGCTGCATACGCACATATGAGCTAAGGTGTTTTTCCTTTAAAATACCTTTTCGGGATGACTTTTAGACCTGTTGGAAATAAGATTTGAAACCGTTTCCCATATTGCAGATTGTTTAACTTAGATAAAGTTAAGACAATTCTTTAAAAAATTTTTTTAGGAGTTTCCATTTCTTGGTTGGTAGACATGAAGGAGAGACATTTTGCTATATTATGTAAAAAAATTGTGTTCAGTTAATGGCTATGTAAGCTATTATAAACGTAATGGCAGGAAAGGAAAGTTTTTTTTAGAACAGTAAGAATACAAGCAGGGTTTAAAAAATTGCAGATCAGGTCATCTGGAAAGCCAGAATCACCATGGTGTTCCTTCTACTCACCATAACTCCAAACATCACTTTGATGGGTATATATGCGGTGCAGAATAGACTCCAAAGCCATCCACTTAATAGGAACCTAAGGTGAGTTCAAACACCATTGTTAAAACTAACAGTAAGACAGGTAGCTTTAAGAAATACTGTAAACAGCTAATGATTAAGGAATATACCATATTTTGCCGCATAATAGTTGTACTCTCATTTTTTGGATGGCAGAACTGGTGTTTCTATGTTCCTTGCATAATAGTTTCAGAGCTGTCTGAGACTGATTTTTCCTTCCTTCCTGCCTGCCTTCTTCAAAGGCAAGACAGTTTAGAAACTAAAAAATGGAGATCTCTGGAGATTCATTCTTCCTTCCTTTCTCCAGGGCAAGGCAGTTTAAAAAACCTGAAATTGAGGTTTCTGAAAGTCGGATCTTCCCTCTTTGCTCCTTCCTCCAAAGAGTTCCATTTCAAATTTTGTAAACTCCCTTGCCTTTAAAAAAGAAGGAAAGGAAGGGGAATCTCCTCCTTCCTCCAAGGCAAGGCAGTTAAAAAAACACCAAATAAACAGAAATGGAGCTCCTCCTACTGTGTTGGAGGTAAAGCAGTTTCAAAGGCATATTTTCTTTATCACATAATAGTTGCACCCCCTTTTTTGGTTGAAAAGGGATAAAAAGTGTAACTATTAAGTGATGAAATACAGAAGTATGCACTTTGTGCTTTGTATATCTCTCAAGTTAATTAGAATTGCTGCTCAGAATTTGAAAACTTGAGATCAGAAAAATGTTTCCCTTTGTAATACATATAACTATTTATTTTAAGTCTGCTTTCTGCACAGTTTTGAACTCTTTTGTTATGTGTCTACCCTGTAACTTCTAGAGAGTTATACAAAGAAATGGGTGATGTGCAATCAAATTTCCAGTTAGACCAACTTCATCTGGATCCTTATTTTAATCTTCCTTCCTTCCATATACAGAGATTTCATTTTGTAAAAACAATAGTATCCTATTAAATAAATTAAACAGAAGTAATTGTTCCATGTCATACTTTTCCTCCTTCTGCATGGTACTCCTTTTCTTCTGCACCAAGCAATTTGGCCAGTCCAAAGTCAGTAATCTTTACATGTTGGGGAGTCTTAACTAGAACATTCCTGGCAGCCAAATCACGATGTACTAAACGGCGTTCTTCCAAATAATTCATTCCCTACAGGAAAGATACAAAGTATAGTTAGAAAATTTTATTCCACCACGCTACAACTAAGGAAGATATCTTATATTGGATAAAGGGACACTTTCATTAAAGTGGTTCCAAACTCACATGAAAGGAAGTCCTGGGAGCAGAGGATGATTATATAATTTAAACATACACTTTTAAGATTCTTACAACAGATATTATTTTACTATGAGACTTTGAACTGCATAGATTAGTCCAGTTTCCTATGATCAAATGCATATGGGGTTATTTTAGCACTAAAATGATCTTGGCTGGGGTAGCCAGATTACTACGGCCTTTCAAACTTCCCAGATGCCCCTCTCCCAATAATTTGAATAAACTATTGATTTAATAATTCCATAATATTCCTCTATATTTCCCCGAACGCTGGCTCTTCCTCAGCAGTGTCCTGAATCCTTAAAAACACATGTTTCATCTGAAACACACCAAACCGACTGCGGCACAAGAGTTCTTCAGTACAGGGCGTGATTGTATGAATATTCATGTCTGGTGGAGCTGGGAGGGTGGAGGCAGAGCGAAAGAATTACAAGAAGCAGAGCCAACTGTGGTAGCCATGTCCAGAGAGAGCAAATGTCATGATAGGAGGCACTGTATTTTCAGGCCTTGAAGGCTGCATCTCTGAAGTGTTAACTGTTTGCTAAGAAAACATTAGCATAAAAATATATTTTCCATCTAAAACATTAACATAATAATCTAACAGAATAAACGATATCATCAGCTTCTGCTAAAAAGAACTCCTCTAGTCTGTAATTATTGTTACTGCACCAGAGATAATAATTATTACAAGAATGGCCACCAATTCAACTGCTAGTTCCAGCTATATTATTATAGTTGTGGGTCTGCTCTAGTTGGGACTAAACTGCCTTTAGAGTAGGGTCTATCTGGTACATTCTACATAAACACAAAACTCTGCTGATGTTTTCTTCTCAATCATGAAAGATTTGCAATCGTTAATTGGGTAATTTTGCATAGATGCCAACAAGAAACTACAGTATGTGTGGACACAGTCACCAATTTGTGTGAGTGCTTGCCAATAAGATAATAACACAGAACTGAGAAAATGTTTACTCCCAAGAGTCCACCCCCTTTCTTCCATTAGCTTTAGATCAACATCATAATCCTGTCTAAAGATTTTCTGATAAACTCCCACAATGACCTAAGGGTTTCCAGTGCTGCCAGACAAATCACTGCAGAAGGCTGTTATAAAATCTGATTTCATTACATAAATGTAATTTTAATGAGCTGTTAATCTCAAACAAATTGTAAACAACCACACTGAAACCTCGTTACTCAATTTATTAAAGTTTATTATATCTGGCTATTCTACAATTGAGCACATATATGTATTCTAAGGTACAATTTCCCTCAAATGCCATGTATTTACAAATATTTTATTTGCTCTAATCTCAGAAATAAAAAAGTAACTTAAATATAATCATCTTAAATAATTATTCTGATAGGCCATGGGTACTGAACCTGGACTGTTGCTAAATGATGCTTTTGGATTTTGATCTCTTTTATGCAATTTAAATGATATTTTAAAAACCTGCTTTCATATGTTTCTGCTGGCTGGCACAATTTGACAGGCAATTCAGTGGGATACAAATTTAATAAAACAAACACAAATATTTACAAGACACTAAGCTTAAAATATATAAGAGATAATGCTGGACATCATTTTGTGAGATTACTTCCAGTGAAACCTATTTGTTGCCAACATGCTATGAATATAGGATGATTAATTTTATCAGAACCAGTGGCTGGCCATTAATGAATTGCTTGTTGTGTTTTTATCTGTAACATCACCCGCCTCCTCTTACTTAGGAATTATATTATTTGCCTCCTGAGACACACTTGTCTTGAGAAACATAGTGCTTCAGATGCTTAAAAAGCATTTCAGATCGAATAAAACCCACTATTTCAAAGCTGTAGGAATCAAGTTAAAGAATGAACTCTGTGGAAGAGTACCTTTGGGATCTGATTTCCTGTTTGTGAGTCAGATAGTGTAAGAAGATTTGCAATGCTTTCAAGATTAGCAGCATTTGCTTTTGCTTATCCAGGGCAATGTAAGACTTGGTTAATGTGGGTTTTTACTTACATCTGAATGAGGGCATTGAACAGGTTGGTTCATAAACATAGGATATGGTGGACAATACTGTCCCATTGTGTACATTCTATCAGCTTTTGGCTCTTGAGCCAATTTATATAGTTATGTCTCATCTAGCACCAAACAACTAGATGGGCATTGCTGTTAATTTACCTTTGCAATCTGCACACACCAATTGAGAAGGTATTGGGATCCAATGTTATCCTTGTGCTCTCTGATATAATCAAGAAGACAACCATATGGCATAAGTTGTGTGATGAGCTGGACAGTAGATGTGAGGCAAATTCCCAGCAAACGGCACACATGGGGGTTGTCCACACTTGCCATTACATAAGCTTCCTGATCAGAAGAGAGAGAAAAGAGATAAACTAAAAATTCAAAACATTAAATACATGAAACTGAAGGGAACAGCACAAAGAATAATAGAATTGGAAGAGATCACATGAGCCACCTAGTTCACTCCTCTGCAATGCAGGAAAAGCACAATCAAAGTACCCCTGACAAATGGCCATCCACCCTCTGTTTAAAAGCTTCAAAGGAAGGAGCTTCCACCAAACTCCAAGGCAGAGAGTTCCACTGCTGAACAGCTCTTACACTCTTCCTAATGTTCAGGTTGAATCTCCTTTTCTGTTATGTAAACCCATTGAGTCCCAGTTTCACACGCAGCACAAAACAAGCCTGCTCCCTCTTCATTATGACACCATTTCACATATTTATACATGGCTATCATGTTTCCTCTCAACTTTCTCTTCTGCAGGCTAAACATACCAAGTTCTTTAAGACGTTCCCCATAGGTTTCCAGACTTTTGATCATTTTAGTTGCCCTCTTCTGGACACCTTCCAGCTTGTCAATACCTTCATATTGCTCAGGTTGAACACCCATCTCCCTTTGGGAGAACATTAAGGCAAAGAAGGTGGTGAGCAGCTCTGCCTTTTCCCTATCCCCTGCTAGCATTTCATCACCTTCTTCACGCAGAGGCCCTACAATTTCCTTTTTCTATTGACATAATCAAAGAACCCCTTTTTATTGGTTTTAATCTCTCTGGCAAGACTGAGCTCATTTTGCGCCTTAGCCTTATGAACCTTTTCCCTACATATGTTGGTTATTTGTTTGAATAACTCCTTGGAGATTTCCCCCCTTTCTCCATTTCTTGTGCATGTCTCTTTTAAATCTTAGCTCCGTTAAAAATTCCTTGTATATCCATTCTGGTTATTTTACACTTCTGCTTTTTCTCCTTGCTAGCACTGTTTGCAACTGTCCCTTCAGTATCTCACTTTTAAGAAACTCCCATCCATCATTAACTCTCTTCTCTCTTAGTATTCCTGCCCATGGAATCACACTGAGTATTTCCTTAAATTTCCTGAAGTCAGCTCTCCTAAAGCCTAGAATGCATGTCACCCTTCCACAAACTCCAAGAGCACATGGTCACTCCCACCTAAGGATCCCACCACTTCCATGGAAAATGCATCTATCCAGGAATGATCAGGCATTGTGCCTGTTCCCTTAGTCTCCTGCATTAGTATTCACTTGCTCCTAAACCTTATTTGAGGTTGAACTGAGAATAACCTAAGCTGATTTAGCTATACTATCTATGTTTTTAATTTACCTACTTGCATCATCTAGCACAATTACATTTGATATTGCAAAGTGAAGTGGATAAAATAATGAAGCCATTGTACAGTCATATGTTCTTTAAAATACTTTGAGAAGTCACAGCACAGCTTTTGTTTTTAAACTCTATCTTGCAAATCTGTGAGGTATGCTTGGTATTTGGCAGCCAATCTCCTGACTTAGCTCTTATCCTAATAAAGCCATTAGGAGCTACAGTTGGAGAGTGTACAATATTGGATTACTGCCAACACTTGTAGTGCATAAAAATTCTACAGCAACATAACTAATAAGAGATCCTGATGCTCCATCTAGTATTAAAAGGGAGGAATTAGGAGAGAAAAAAAATATTCTGTCCCAGTTACGAATACCAAGTCAATCAACTGCTGAAGAGTGAGTCAATGTAGAGATAAATCCCATTGATTGAATCAGTCTCTACTAGTCAGGACTAACAGGATTTACATTCTGAAAGTTGAACCCTCTTGATAAAATCTGAAAAAGCTAGATTTGATATAGATTCTGAAAAAATCCGTACTCTGAACCTGGTTGGGAAAGTAGAAGATACAAGAATATTGTGTTGTTAAAGGCTTTTATGGCTGTAATCACTGGGTTGCTGTGAGTTTTAAGGGTGCCTGCCATAGATGTTGGCAAAATGACAGGAGGGAGTGCTTCTGGAACATGGTTATACAGCCCAGAAAACACACAGCAACCCACTACAAGAAAATTATTTTCATGTGTTCTTGTGGGTTTTTTCGGGCTATATGGCCATGTTCTAGAGGCATTTCTCCTGACGTTTTGCCTGCATCTATGGCAAGCATCCTCAGAGGTGAGGTGTTCTGGATTTGTTTTTTTTGTCGTGTCAGGAGCGACTTGAGAAACTGCAAGTCGCTTCTGGTTTGAGAGAATTGGCTGTCTGCAAGGACGCTGCCCAGGGGACGCCCGGATGAATTGATGTTTTTATCATCCCTGTGGGAGGCTTCTCTCATGTCCCAGAATGAGGAGCTGGAGCTGATAGAGGGATCTCATCTGCCTCTCCCCAGATTCGAAACTGCGACCTGTCGGTCTTCAGTCCTGGCGGCACAAGGGTTTAACCCACTGCGCCACCGGGGGCTCCACATGTGTTCTGGGTACATTTATAAAATTATAAAACCTCATAGAGATCTTCCATTTTTTATTCTATACTGTATGAGAAAATGCAGAAATTATTTTTTCAGTATAAGGCATTGAAGTAAGAACCTTACTTAAGCATTAATTCTTTTTTGAGTTTTTGAGTTTTCAAATCAAAAATAGTCTATCTTATTTATCTTTAATAAAGTAAAAATAAATAAATAAAGTAATGAATTGCTGCATTTCTCCTAATGTTTCAAGCACTTAAAATGGATTGGGTGTTGTTTGTTCATTTCTCTGTGTGACCGATGCCAGATGTAAGATCATAGTGTGAAACTTTGAAGCATATAAGACAGGAGCCTCAATTGACTATATCGGTTCATCATTGGGAAGTACCTCTAGTGTGAATCCTACTCATATTTGGAGTCAAGAGAAAGAAAGGAGTAACGTTTAATTTTATATTGCAGTTTGAAGATAATTGAAAACCAGTAACACTTGTAGTTTTCCAAATTATTTCAAAGATCAATGAGAATTTGGGAAATGATGTTGTCTTTGGGTTGTTGTAGGTTTTTTCGGGCTATATGGCCATGGTCTAGAGGCATTCTCTCCTGACGTTTCGCCTGCATCTATGGCAAGCATCCTCAGAGGTAGTGAGGTGGTCTTTATCCTGAAAGTCTTTATGGATTATGTCTACAAAGCCATGCTGCATGACTCCACACAATCTGATACCTAGGAGAGGCTGCATGGAGGCTGCATTTTGGGTTTGTTGCTTTTCTATTTTTTGTTTTACTTTGTATTAAAGTTATAGTCAGGTTTATCTCTTGGCTGACCATTAGGATGGGATCACACTTTAGAAGAAGCACTGAGGACACAGTTGTATTCCTCCTCATCAGTAATCTCATGAATAATATTCTTATTAAAATGCTCCTGCTTACAAAATAAACTTTTGTTTGTGTAGGAGAAAAATGTGATAGCTCCTTCAAAGATATGGCATTCAATATTTTGAAGCAGAACATACAAAATCGATATCAAGGTGCTTAAATACTTCATCTTTATCCATTTTGGTCTGTAATCATGAAGCCACCAACTGGACCTACTTAGCAGGAGCACCATCGCACGCCAATAGTTATTAAACTGAAATTATTAAGATATTAGCTTTTCCTTAATATGTTTCAACTGAATATTTTATCCTTACTTATAAACAAACAGAGGAGAATCAAACACATTACATTCTAAGTTTTGAACATTATTACATGAAATCACAATTTCTGAAGCCCCCATCATATTCACTTGCATTTGTTCTAAATTCAGGGAAACTTAAGTAATACCATAGTATTACCAGGCCATCCAATGTAACATGAGTAGAATAATACCAAGATATGGCTGTGTTCCAATAGTGACTGCAAATATACTGCTAGCACAAGCAATACCTAGCATAGTGCAGTGTATATAAATTGCAGAATTAAAGTACTGGATCTGACAGCAACGGAAGGCCACCCATAGTGTAATCACAAACAGTGTAAACCACTATTCCTTTCTTGAGTTTCGAATGAAGTTACAGGAATAATGTGGAAAACTGCAAAGCAATTGGTGTTAGTACTCTTTGTGAATAAATGTCTCTGCAAAAATGCTTTTTGTAACAGCCCATAGCTTTTCATGAAAATATGTGGAAAATAAACCAAATTATGAAATTATTTGTAATAAACGGAAGCAAAATTTACTTAGAAATTTTGCTTCTGTTGATGGAGTGAGGGACACTTTTATCTTCTTTTGTCCAGATTAAGATTTTTTTCCTGTGAGCTGAAGTTCTTAGTAGATCCAAATGGAAATTAGCAAAATATGTATAGATAAAAAAAAACAAAAAATGAAAGCTTTTGTTGAAAATCATAAAATAGTTTTTCCTTATGAACTAATCAGTGACATACATCAAGGGAACCACTGACCGCATAGGGAAGCTGATGAGGAAACACAACATACAAACTATCTACAGACCCACCAAGAAAATCCAATAAATGCTACGTTCAGCAAAGGACAAGAGGGATCCTCTCACTTCTGCAGGAGTCTACCATGTACCATGCAGCTGTGGACAAGTCTACATAGGGACCACCAAACGCAGCATTGCCCAAACACGAATCAAGGATTCATGAAAGGCGCTGCAGACTACTTCAACCAGAGAAATCAGCCATAGCAGAGCACCTGATGAATCAACCTGGACATAGCATTTTATTTGAGAACACAAAAATGCTGGACCACTCTCACAACCACCATGTCAGACCACACAGAGAAGCCATTGAAATACACAAGCATGTGGACAATTTCAACAGAAAGGAGGAAACCATGAAAATGAACAAAATCTGGCTGCCAGTATTAAAAAACTCTAAAATTGCAACAACACAACAACAGAGAGGAAACAAACAAGGACATCTAATCACCTCTCAACAAAAGTTTACTCCAGGCACTGTCAGGCCATTATATGCTAATCAAGGTGGTAAGTTGAAACATTCACACCTAGCTCCAGCAGACAAGAATCCTTTGTCTCACCCTGGTCATTCCACAGATATATAAACCCTTTTTCTTAGTTCCAACAGACCTCACTACCTCTGAGGATGCTTACCATAGATGCAGGCGAAACGTCAGGAGAGAATGCCTCTAGAACATGGCCATATAGCCCGAAAAAACCTACAACAACCCAACTAATCAGTGATTTCATCCTATTCCAGGATGCTTACATTTTTAAAAAGTGGAATTGCAATCCATCAGAGGATCCATTGAAGACATTTAAGAGAATGACAAAACACACATCATTTATTAATAATGTCTCCCTGTATATTGTTTGCACTTGAGAAAAGAGCTAACATTTAAATTCTTCAAATATAAATAAATATGAAACTCACATCAAGAATTTCTTTGTTGGCTTTGGGGGACGTGGCTTCTCTCAATTCCTTAATGGCCACAGGAATTTTAACCTTCTCCCCTTCTGGAATCCACAGCCCCTGTTTAAAAACATGGAAAGCTTAAAATGGAATTAAAGAGAAAAATGTGCATGTAACTTTTGAGATTTCAAAAAGATTAAGAATGCAACAAGTAGATAAGCTGGCTATCTACCAAAGTATGTCTCACATAGTTTTTTGAACGGGATGTAAGGAATTTGAATAATGTATTAACACTATAAATATTATTTTAAAAAGCAACATGAAAATTCTTCAGCAGCCTGATTCTATCCATGTTTGCTGAAAATTAAGTTCCTGTGAATTAACCAATGAAAACATACATACTGCTTTCTCTAAATATGAAAAATGTGACTTTACCTTAAATACAGTACCAAAAGCGCCAGAGCCAAGGACCTTGACTTTTTTTAACTCAGTTTCCTTTAGAATCCTTAGGAGAGCTTGGTTTGGTGCCTCACCACTGGGAGTCAAAGGCTCAACAAGCTATTGAAAACCAAAATGACAGGTTTCATAAATATAAGGCAATGTAATTTTCCTTCTTTTTTCAGAAACAGAGAAAAGATAATACTCTGAAATAATCACTGGTCTGTTATTCGTAACAAATTATTCAGCCTGAATGCTGCTAAGAAATAAGAGTGAATCAACTGTACAGATTTGCAGTGCTATAAACAAAACAAAACAAAAATAACTAGACATCTTCACAATGTGTTTACAAATGTGTTACTGCAATTAAGCCAGAAAGAAAAGCACATTGATGAGCAGCACATTTCACCTGATCCTCCTGGACAGCTCATTCTCAGAAAGATATTACACTTCAAAAATTGATAAGAAACAGTGCCTATACTATGCATTATGCAGTGCCAACACTATAAATCAATGTACTATATAGCTTGTTTTTGCATCCATCTGAGACATAACCACCAATCTGTGACATGTTCACCAGAGATTTATTTATTTATTTATTTATTTGATACACTTGTATACCGCTAATATCTCAGCCTAGAACGGCGACTCATTGCGGTTTACAGCAGTTAAAACAATCTACAATTTAAAAACATATACACATATAATAACAAATTCAATAACAAATTATTGGGCCACCAATAATAATCCCATATATCTCGAGTTGAAATCGCAATCCAGAATTCGTTGTCCATGTTTCCTGTCCTTAGTCATCAATATTCGAATTGCCACAGATTAGCCGAATGCTTGTTTGAACAGCCATGTTTTGAGTCTCTTCCTAAACACCATCAGCGAAGAGGCTGATCGTACCTCTATAGGGAGGGTGTTCCAAAGCCGGGGGGCCACCACAGAGAAGGCCCTATCTCTCGTTCCCGCCAGCCGCACTTCTGAAGCTGGAGGGATAGAGAGAAGGGACTCTCCGGAAGATCTTAGGGTCCTGGTGGGCTGATAGGCTGAGATACGTTCGGATAGATAAGTTGGGCCAGAACCGTTTAGGGCTTTAAAGGCCAAGCCAGCACTTTGAATTGAGCCCGGTAGCATATCGGCAGCCAGTGGAGCTGGTTCAGCAAGGGAGTTGTATGCTCCCTGCACCCCGCTCCTGTTAGAATCATGGCTGCCGCCCGTTGGACTAACTGGAGCTTCCGGACTGTCTTCAAAGGCAACCCCACGTAGAGAGCGTTGCAGTAATCAAGGCGAGATGTAACCAGAGCGTGGACTACCGTAGCTAAGTCAGACTTCCCAAGGTACGGTCGCAGTTGGCGCACAAGTTTTAACTGTGCGAAGGCTCCCCTGGTCACCGCCGAAACCTGGGGTTCCAGGCTCAGCGATGAATCCAGGATCACCCCCAAACTGCGAACCTGTGTCTTCAGGGGGAGTGCGACATGAGCATTGTGAATTTATGGCATTCCTATGCATATTCTGGCCTTCTGCTAATGTTTGCTAATCAGTAACACCCCATGGAATCAGACCTACAAGAAAGGTACATACCAATTGCAAATTTTGACTGTACTTGTCAAAACTAGCTACAGAAGTTGTCATCACTGGATGAAAACCACATAGATTGCCTATTACACAGTGAATTATGATAACAGCACAACTGCAGCTATAAATAAAGTTATGTTCTATGCTACCGTACTTTGATAAATCAGATCATGACTTAATTTGATGATAATATATCATGGCCGTTGCACTTCAGACTTTACAAAGAAATCCTTTGAGTTCCAGTTCAGAGACAATACTGTGGTGGGCATTCCAGAGGAAGGCTTCCTATAGCATGACTATGTTACTGTGGTGGGGGAGAATAGTTTTTGCTGATAATCCACTCATGCTTTCAAAAGATCCAATAAGGTGTATTTTTGTACATACAGATGGGAATGTTTGGGCTGGTGAGATGGGATTCAAGATTGTGCAACTGCAGGCAGTCTCAAATCTGTCATATTTTTTCCTAAGTATTTTTCTCTATGGGAGAACATTAAAACATACAATCCCACTTCTGAAATCAGAAGTGGTTTGTTACAAAAAAGTTACCTCTTCATTTTCTGAATGTGTTAAGTTGTCCTTATAGCCATTGTATGCACATTGCAAAAAGTATCTAAGTGCAGTGGAAAAGGTATAATTTTAAAGCTACAAGACTGAGTTTGAAGCCACACTGCCAGAAGAAGTTCAAGTTTTGCTTTGTGTTTCATCTAGTTAGTTTCACTTCTTGGCTGATCACTGGTGATGGGATCACAACATAACCCAGTCATTAAGGACACAGTTATAGTCCTACTAAATAATATCAGGATAAAAGCCCTTGCCTACTATGAGGAGGAAAAACATTGCTTGAACGGGAGAAAATATGGTACCTTCCCCAAAGAGATGTGCATCCTTGGACAAAAACACCTGGATTCTAATTAACAAAATAAGAATAATTGTGCATTTGTTCTGCTGCAGCATATAATTTGAAAGGGTCCTGGAGAACCGACACTCACCATCTGAATCAATCTCATCTAGCACATTTCAGAATCACTGAGTGTACCTACCTCTCTTTCTTGAAGCAGCCTGCGCAAAGTACGTTTCCGAACAATGTGACGCCTGCGTACATAGAGACCAATGCCCAATGCTATAACAACTAAGCCAAGAATACTTCCAACAACTCCAGCTGCAATTGAAGGGACCTTTGAGCTAGAAGACAAAAATAATAGCTTTATATTGATTTTTTATAGAAGGGAAAAAGCCAGCTCACTGAGTATTCATATTCAGGCTTGACTATTTTGTCTTAAAAATACCGTATTTACTCGAATGTAATGCACACCATTTTTTGGCTAAATGACCTTGCCAAAACTGGGGTGTGCATTAGATTTGATGGTGCATTAAATTGCGCACCAAAGGCAGATTCCCAACTGAGCTCATTGAGTCTCTGAATGAGTCCAGCTGGGAAGCCACCTCCTCCATCAAGCCAAGGCTGGCAAGTTTGCCACTCTCAGCATGGGGGGGGGGGGGATGACAAATTCCCTCCCAGTTGGCTTCTTCTTCTCCTAGCTGGGAGAAGCAGCAGAAAGCCCCCCTTCCAGCTTTCTGACACTTTTCCAGCTGGGAGAAATGCCAGAAAGCCCTTTCCCCCAGCATTCTGATGTTTCTCCAAACCGAGGATGCACCAGAAAGCCCCCCTTCCTTTCCCCCAGTGTTCTCTGAACTAGGGAAGCATCTCAAAACTCCCCCTCCCTTCCAATCCTGGCTTTTTGCCACTTTTCTGGCTAAGAGAAGCACAGAAAGCCCTCCTCCCTTCCCAGATGGCTTCTTTTTGTCCCTCGTCAGCTGAGATGCAAAGGAAAAGTAACCCCGCCCCCCACCCCCAGTCAAGGCTGCAAGTCGAATCACTTCTATTTGAGCCCTAGTGGGAATGGGCACAAAATGGATAGAAAATCATTTTTTTTGGTAATTAGCACCTCAACTGAACAACGCATTACAATCAATGGCACGCTACATTTCAGTAAATACGGCATATGGAGACAAAACAGTCCCAAGCTATCATTTGGCAACTGCGATTAAAGCTGCACTCCAAACTGCTATAATGAACATAGTATGTCTCACAATGAAGGCCACTCAAAACTTGGAATAACAAGTACAATTTTGCACAAAATTGTTAGTCAAATCACATGTAACTATAGTTCTGACATAAGAGAAACATTCTCCAGCCCAGAATGTGCAAACATGAGAAGAAAGGGAGAAGGATTGATAACAAGGAGGACAAATAACAAGAGGGTTTTGTTTTGATTCATAAATGCTTTGGAGGGTCCTTTCTGATTAGTAATTTGGAGGTTCGTATTTCTTTKTTTTTTAAAAAAAGAAATTTTATTAAATTTTATATAGAATACAACGAAAGAGTGAGAACAATTAGGTATAGAAAAGTAAAGAAAAAAAAGAGAGAAAGGGAAATWAAACCCTAAAAAWWAAWAWAAATAAAACAAACTACAAGAATACATTCACACACAAAAAAAGAAAAGCAAAAAAGAAAAAAAGAAAAAWGTGACTTCCATTCCATCTTCTTGGATAAAATATTCTTATTACTCAAAAATATAATTTTTTWATTAAAKATAATATAATTGTCTCTCTTGTTTTTTATATTCGCAAATTGTCCAGATAATCATGAAGATTGTCCCAATTCGTTATTTTTATTAKCTTGCCTGTATTTTTCTTCAACAAAAAAGTCAGTTTGTCCATGTCCTTTATTTCTCTGATTTTTTCCACCCAATCCTGTACGGGTGGTACTGAGTCTTGCTTCCACTCTCTAGCAAAAACAATTCTAGCGGCAGTCATTGTATATGTAAAAAGTTTGTCCTCTTGTTCCATCAATTGTAAATCCAAATCTGTAAAGCCTAACAAGTAATACTCTGGTTTTCTTGTAAAAGTTCTTTTTAAGATCTTTTGCGTCCCTTCATGAATTACCCTCCAAAACTTTACTGCCTCTTTACAAGTCCACCACATGTGGTAGAAGGAACCCACTTGTTCTGAACATTTCCAACACTTATCAGAAACTGTTTTATACATTTTAGCAAGTTGTTTCGGTGTGGTATACTATCTGTGGAACATTTTAATCCAATTTTCTTTTAAGTCCGTTGCATGTGTATATTTTAATTTTTTTGTTCCACATCTGTTCCCACTCCCTCATTTGAATTAGTCTTAAAGAGAGGTTCGTATTTCTGAACCGTCCAAATCTCCGAATTACCAAGCAGAGCTCCGAAGCTTTACACACCCCTAGTAGGTACTCCAAACCCAAATCATGTAGGGGTTTAAAAGTTATAACCAACACTTTGTACTTTGCTAGCAAACAAATTGGCATCCAGTGGAATGACTTTAGCATGAGCGTAATATGCTCACTTCTAGAAGGTCATGTAATTAATCTGGCTGCCATGTTTTGAACTAACTGGAGTTTCTGAACTTGGTAAGGGGTAGCCCAATGTATAGCACACTGCAGAACCCAAACCTTGGAGCTACCAGGGCATGCACTATCATGTTCAGGTCCTCCAATTCTAAGAGAGGGAGCAGCTGGTGTATCAGTCGAAGCTGGTAATAAGCACTTCTGACAATCGCCTGTATCTGAGCTGACATTCAAAGAGACATATTCATGAGCACTGTGAACACAATCTTTCAGGGGGGGGGGAGGGGGAGGGGGAGTAGGCCTACTGCTAAGTAATTACTGGTACTGTAATTGCTAGTTTTAGCAATTTAATGAGACCTGGTGAGTAAATGTAGCAAAGACCAGTGTTAAGTCACCTTGCTGATGATATTTTACTTTGATTAAAAAGTCTTGCGTGAAGCAAATGCAGGCTAGAAAGGTTGTGGGAAAACACACATGGATTATCATTTCTAATTGAAATGTCCAGTTTCTGGAATAAGGTACAATCAAATGCATAGTCTTCCAGACCCTTATGTTTGCTGCAGAAACTCTCTGGCAGTATGAAACTGGCAGCTGGTTCCCCTTTCTTTGCATCTTCTCCAATGATGAAGAAAATGAGAGATGAGTGAAGCATCCCAGACTAGATCACAGTTGATTTTGTCTCACACGAGTTTTTCCCACCAGTTAATGAAGTTAGGGTCATAGCCATGTAAACTGTCAAATCTATGGGGGGTTCAGTGGTGGGACATTGGTTTTCCTAACAAATGTTCCCCAACTCTGGGCTAGATGTAGATTTGCCAGCTAAAGTGCTTATTGAAAAACTTAGGATTATGTTGCATATCTCATAGTCGGAATTCATAAAATTTGCCAAAAAAAGGGAGAAAAGCAGATTACTAAATAATGTGCACACATTAATATGCATGTAAGCAGAGATATATGTTATTTATTTTCACATATCAATGATATTTCTATGTTATTTATATGTGTTATTTATTCTCACATATCAATGATATTTACCCAATAGGACAACCTTCAAGTCCTGGTCCTTTGCACCTGTAAAAAGAAAAGAAATTGTAAAAGAATTAACATGGCTGCATACAGATTCTTCAACGGGTAAGTTATTTTGGTGTCTCTGAACACATTTTTAAAGATAAGGTACTTACTTAGGAAACAAAACATTTGTGAAAGCATCAAGAGCTTTAAAGCAGATGCTTTTGTCCAGAGGACAGAGTATGCTGTATGTTCCACTGATGGAACAGTGTTTTAAGTACATTGGGAAGAAAGCCTGCCAGAACAGTATTCTCACACAGCACAGAACTTTCCACTCCCTCATTTCCCAAGTACAAACTCGGTTTCCAAAAAGTGCTGTCTTTCAATGACTTCAAAAGATTGTTCATCCTGACCGCACAAAGCGACCTATCACAAAGAGACGACTGTTCACTGACCCACATGTAAAGAAACAGCAACTTGCTGTGAGAGGATAAAACATTTACTTTTAAGATTCTAACATTCATTCCAAACAGAAAGGTGAATGGCTGAAAACCTCTAGGGATAGGGAGATTTCTCAATAGTAGACCTCAGGCTATTTAGTGCAGCTGCTCCCCCTGTCCAAAACAACACTTCTCTGTTTAAGGATAAAACATTAACCTCAATGACTTATGATTTGGGGCTAATATTCAGTAACAGAGATTTCCACACTGAGCAATATTTGGCAGTAGTACGCAGGATTTAGATTCATTTCACTAATAAAGTGCTGCTTCCACTACTGTTCAGAATGTACATGATATATCCCTCTTCTCACCTACACAGCCATTTAAGAATGTCATTAAGTTGTAAGTCAAACCTATAACTTGTAAGAGGAATACGTGTAGTCCAGTCTTCTTTCCAACATTTTCTGCATGCAAGAAAGTTTTATCATGGGGAAAAGTCAAACATAGATTATCCCACTAAGGGATAATCTGTTTAAAATATAGCACAATCCCAGGCATTGATTTTTTTCCGAAAATTCCTTTAGTCTGTCTATCTGATAAGGGATTGTAATAATAATAATAATAATACTAATAATAATAATAATAATAATAATCATCATCATCATCATCATCATCATCATCATCTTTATTTATACCCCGCCACCATCTCCCCAAAGGAGACTCGGGGCGGCTTACATGAGGCCGAGCACCGGAATACATTTCAACAAAGTACATAATAAAACCTAAACAACTTAGGACTACAATAAAACAAAACAAAACAAAACAAAACAATGCAATAAGAAATCAATCACAATGAGCGAGCTGCATGTACAACATAAAATGATAAAACTCTGGATGAGAAAGGAAAAAGAAATGTTTGTAAGGGATAAACGCGTAGGAGATGGAGTAGTGAAGACAGGCTTTCACACAGGCAGAAGGAGATATAGTAAGACAACAACATTGTGGGAGGAACAACAAAAAGATTGCAATCCTTCACAGAAGCAGCACAAGAAATGACACCTCTGGCATTCTTAAATAGTCTCTAATGTTCCTGGACACAGGAACAGATATTAAGTTGAACCTAGTCACTAACAAGACTTTGAAATACATGTCTTGGGCTCCATTTACATTGCTATATAATGCTGTTTAACTTCATTGAGTTGTATTATATGAGTCTACATTGCAAACTGCATTGTGTGACAGTGAAGTCTCCATTTACTATGGAAATAAGGTAGGAATAAAAATCCTTGGAATTATGCAGCCCATCTGCTTTCACCACAAATGTAGATTTTCATCTGCACATACATGAATTCTCTTCACAGTTTACATTAAAGCAACCAAGTGGTACTACAGGCAGTCCAAGTTCACAAACAAGATAGGGTCTGTAGGTTTGTTTTAAGTTGAATTTGGATGTAAGTTGGAACAGGTACATTTTTTCAATGTAACTCCAGCCATTTTTTAAAAAAAGTTTTGGATAGCATAGGGAAGAGTTAACAACACTGCAATGTTTGTTTTGCTATCTGTGCTTCTGTTCAGAAGGTTTCATCTCACTTTCTGTCCTTGTGACAAGTGGATTTTGAAAATTCTGGCTTGTGAAAACAAGGATTGGTAATAAAGCTTCAATGGAGTCACCTTTTCCCCAGTATTTTCTTCTGGGAGTGAACTTCCCTTCCTAGGGGTAGTTTTCCTCTCACTTCCTGTTGTAACTGGGGGGGGGGGGGGGGGGGGTCATATGTAAGTCAGATGGCTGTAACTTGCCAGTATTCAAGAGCTCCCAATAACATTATGTGAACTTTCCATCAGGGGTCACTATAGTTCTAATTCAGTTTTAGACATGTGTTTTGAACCTGTATGTATGTAACTAATGATTCAGCGAGATATAATGCTAAGAGAGAAGTCTCATGAAGAGGTTCCAAGCTTTTAAAAATTTCAACAGCAGCAGGAATGGGGTTCAAAACAAAACAGGATAATAAAATACAAACTCAAAACCTATATAAAATCTCCCTCCTACATCATTTTCTTTATGTACAAGCTCTTCCCAAAACTTTCCATAGAGAAAAATTATATGAAACCACTATGAATAGCAGTATCAATTAAAAAATGACAAAACAAATTTTTACTTTTTAGGATTTTAAAAATATTTTCATGACATGGATAGTTAACTCTATGGATATAGAGGGCCTCTGTTAGGTATATATGTATTTGTACTGCACACAGTAAATATTCTTCTTTCTAAAATATATTTTAAGTGTAAAATGAATTTACACTTAAAACTACACATAAAAAGGCAGCTTTGGGGGAAAGCCCTTGCCAAAATGCAGAGAATTATTATTATTATTTATTATTATTTATTGAATTTCTATTCTACTTTTCTCCCATGATGGGAAGCAAAAGTACAGAAGCAAAAGTTTCTACTAATTTTTAATTTCTTTCTACTGATTTTTCTTTACATGATGAAAACATGCAAATAAAAATATTTTAAACTCATAACTTCATTTGCTTAAAAAAAAACCTATACTCACCCACGAACACAATTTGGATGACATGGCTGGCACACTGAATTTTCATCTGCATATTTCCAGACTAGAGTATTATTTTCACCCATGATCCCAGCAGGGCATGATTTAACACAGTGAGGGCCGTCTATTAAATGGGCACATTTGATGCAGTCACCTGGACCCTGTATAAGAAGCAACGTATTATTCATAAATATATATATTTGTCCATTGGCTGACAAATATAATAATGGAATATCATAAATATTAGTACTGATTATTCAAGTGGTTTTCTTGTGGTTTGTTGTTTAGTTATCCCACTAATTCTGGCAGTTGTATCACAGGTATTCCCAGGATTCATTTAACCTGTTTTCATACAGCTTTTCAAAATTTTATTTTACATCTCCCATACTTTGCATTAATAATATAGACAGTTAAAGATGTTTTAAACTGCGTTAAGTAACAGTAAATTGTCAACATGAACAAATTATAAAGCTAACTCTTCAAGTTCTGTTCCCAAATCCACTCAAACTTTCTTATAGTTGGCAGAAGACTACTGGTAATCATCCACATACTCGGATGGCTGGTGGAGAGAGCCAGGAACACATAAAAATCACAAATCTCTCAAAGAGAAAGGGGCAGTTAAAGGAAGAGGAGGGTTGGAAAGGAAGGCAGAATAAACCAAAGGAGGCCACATTTTTTCAGCATCAATACAGGGTTCCCACTCCCATTTCTCCAGTTTTCACCTAGTCTCTCAGCGTGCCAGATAATACCCATCTAAACCAACATTTGAACGCCATGTTTCCATTTTTTAAGTCCCTAGAGCTTGGAAGGGTGGAGTCATTATTGGGGGGGGGGGGATGTTCAACCACTTTACTGTTCAATAGTTTTGAAAGAAACAAGTGTGTTTAGCTAATGAATGAAGTCTCCTACCCAGTACCCCCAGTGACAATAGAATAACATAACATTAGAGAAGGCCCATTACTTCTGAATATTACTTTCCAGTTGCTGTTATGGCTCTACAGAAATTCGTACTAAAGGTTTTATTGAGTTAGCTCAGTTAACAAAGCAGATGTGTCCCTGGGCATTATTTATTTTTGGTATCACAGATAAAAAGAATATGGGAAGAACAGGTAAAGGTCCCTACACCAAGTTTTAGCAAATCTTTTATTCAAATCCAATACTATCCACACATGAAACAAATCTACCATGTGAGGCAAATCTTCTGCATTTAAAGAAAAACATTTTGAAATTTCTAGAGACGACTTTAAGGCTGTTTCCAAACTACATATATGGTATTTTTTTCTTCTTTTCACTGTTCTCTACTTTCTCTATGATCTCTATTTTGGTGGCCAATGTGGATCTATACATGTTTAATATTTTTGAGTAGCAAACAAACAAGACGAAAAACGATTACAAAAAGCTATTTGTACTGTATGACCCCGGTATCCCTGGTTTCACCTACACACATATGTCATCTGTAGTAATTTTATTATCTTTCAAGCAATCAACTGGCATACTTTTGCTGGAGGTTACCACAGAGTCATCATGAAGGAACTAGAAGATTCCTAAAGAGGACCCTTTCTAGTGGAAGGTGTTCATTTTAGGAAGATTCGTTATTATCAGTGGTTTCATGTTTCTACAATAAGTTCAGGAACATAGAGTAATAGAGTTGGAAGAGACCGCATGGCCCATCCATTCCAATCCCCTGCCATGAAGGAAAAGCACAATCCCTTGACAGATGGCCACTCAACCTCTGTTCAAAAGTCTCCAAAGGAAGAGTTTCTACCACACCTTGAGGCAGAAAGTTCCACTGTTTAACCGCTTTTATGGTCAGGAGGTTTTTCCTAATATTCAGGTGGAATCTCCTTTGCTGTAATTTAAACCCACTGCTCTGAGTCCTAAACTCCAGGGAAGCAGAAAACAAGCTTGCTCCCTCTTCTTTATGACATCCTTTTAAACATATCCCCCATGACACTATATTCCAAAATTTGAAATACTGAAGATTTCTGGTCCCAAGCATTTTAGGTAAAGGATATTGGACATGTATTACGTATTAGCCTTTTTGTGTAATTGATCTAATATGCACTTACAGGTCCTTCGCAAGTTGAAGTTGAATTTTGCACTAGGCATTCTGGATGGCATTGAAGGCATTCAGAATCTTTTATGAATTCCCGAGGTTCCCTGAATGGAAGAGAAAACAAAATGCAGGTCATTATCAGGATTCTATCACAGTATGAGTATCTAAGTTCTTCAATCTTACTGTAGCTTTTTAGTTTAACTGTATTGGAACAGATAGAACAAGAGTACAAGAAGACTACAAAATAGCACTGAAAGGAGCAGCTTTACACACTGAAAGTAGTTACTTTCAAAACCTTGCTAGGACCCTCAAGTCACCCCCAAAGCCACCTGATGGGATACACATAGCACATGCCTATAAATGTCCACCAGAGGAGTGAGTTTTGCTGGAAGGGCCTTCTGGAAGGGGAAAGCCTTTTTTGCTGATGGGGTCACACTGGCACCAATGTTGGTTTCTAGTATGAAGTCAAATTACCGCTTTTAGTAAAAGTGTCAGTGGGTTATTGGTTTTTCCCATTGAAATGATGTATGATTGTGAACCGTTTTACACTTTTAAGATATCTTAACTTGTTTAATATGACTTTAGTTTGTTGACATTATTGTTATGATTTTAAATTTTAAACTGTTTGCAGTTGTCCACTTTTTACTGCAAATTGGATCTTTGGACCATAATAAAGTTTAGATTGATTGAAATCATTTTACATTGTTTAAATTAATTTCACTTGTATTCCACTCTGAAAACCCATAATACAGGGTAGGACAGAAATATGTAAATAAACATTAAAGTACAGATCCTATTATGGGAGTCAGGCTAATATACTACTTTGAGCATTGGGTAACAGAGTTTGAATCCCTGTTCAACCATCAAACCCACTGGGTGACCCTGGGCAAGTCACACATTACTTCTGAGGAAGGCAATGACAACAAGTGCTAAAAATCCTGTGACAGATTCATCATAGATTGGGAATGACTTGAAGAGTATGCAACAACAATATCTGGGTTGTTGTAGGTAGCTTGTGTGAAACAGAGCAAAACGTCAGGAGAGAATGCTTCTAGAGCATGGCCATACAGCCCAAAAAACCTATAACAATCCTGTGATTCCGGCCATGTAAGCCTTCAACAACAACAACATCATTTTATGGAGCATGTGTATGATTTTGCTTGAGCTATCATCTTCCCAGGCCAGTTTTGTGGGAACAAGGGAGAAAGCTTTCTCAGTGGCTGCTCCATATTTTATTTTATTATTTATTTATTTACTATATTTCTATACCGCCCTTCTCAGCCCAAGGACGACTCAGGGCGGTTTACAAAACCGGCACAATTCGATGCCACAATAATATAAACAGTTAAAAGCATATAAACATCAATAAAATTCCATAAACAATAAAATCAATCAAACATAAAAACATAAATCCTCCGTATCCAACTTCCTGAATCTTTATCCGATTGTAGTTGTCCAGCCGTTCTGAGGTCAAGTAATTATTTACTACATCGCATTTGAGAAAGCCTGCTCACAAAGCCAGGTTTTGACTTTTTTCGGAATGTTAGGAGAGTGGGAGCCGATCTAATAACTCTGGGGAGGGTGTTCCGTAGCCAAGGGGATATGGATCTTTCTTCCCAGGGAAGCAGGTTGAGAGGAACTCTCTGTTATTCCCCCCGATAAATTTATCTGTATTCCCCCTGACTTATAAATTACCAAGGCATTTTTGAACCATATCTGTGGCATATAATAAATATGGGTGTTTTTTGTAGTCAGTATATACTATGTACAAATGCATCTTTCATCCTTTATAGTTTTTCAGCATTATCTGTTGGTGATTTGCCATTTTTATTTGAAAATCTTAATTTAAAAAATGGAGGAAATGCTTACCCCTGCATTACATTGCATTCTTTTACACACTCCTGTTGACGAATGTAGTGATGGCAAGAATAGCATTGGGTGGGCCCTGGGCCCCAGCAGCCCACAGGTGAGCAGAGTGGATCACAAACCTGACTTGCAGCAGCTGCGGTAAAATACACAAAAATGTTAAAATTCAGTACCTCTATAGATTCAAATCACCAGAGAGCAGAAACACCGAGGACATGATTCAATCATCATTTGCATTTAATTAAATAAATTTCTAAAATCGGTCTAGCGGCTATTCTAGTTCCTTCATGCTAAAACATCACAATATCTAGGAGAAGGAGGGACAACTGTGGCAGGTCTGGGAGGCACTCTTATGCCCATTATCCTCCAGTGGCTGCATGAAATGTCTACAAATAAGTTCCCCCCTCCTAAGTTTCTAGAAGTCAACTTCAGTTTTTCAAAAACTGGTATTTTTATGTTACATATGCCTATTAAAATATAAACTGTTGCTTTCACTCTGGACTCAGTCTGTGGATTATATCTAGAGGATTTGGGGAGCACAAAAGCTTCATCGGAGAGGGTACAATATTTGGCTCTGGGGATATACTGTACCAGCCCCCTGCTCTTCCCACACTCCTTTAACAGTCACTTTGGCATAATCAGGGTGGCAGTGAGGGTGGAAAACGTATCCATGCCTAGGCTTTTGCATGACTTGTCGGTTTGCCTTCCTGCCACTGAGATTGCCCTATCGGGCCATTATATGCCCAATTTCTAGGGCCATTTTTTGAAGTTTTTGGCCCCTGGGCCTTTTTTTAATACAACAGAAAATAGATTAGAAAACATGTCAAAATTTTCTCATGTCCTTGAAGACAAACTTACACACCATTGTGGAGAAGTAATGTGGAAAAGCCATATCCAATGTGGATATACAGATGAACCCAGATATCAGCACAGCACAGATGACTGGCCAATAATTTTAAACAGTTACTTCAACAATATAAAGCATTTCTCCTCCAAAATATAAAGATCAAGCAAAGCTGAATGACTCTATCAACTTACCACATGCACTTTCATTTCTGTTTTGGGCAATTTTTATATTCTGTTTTTCTGTCACAAAAAGTGTAGTCCAGTCCACTTTATTGGCAAAGCACAGGTTCTTGTTTCTCATAATGACAACATCTCCATCGCTTATTTCCTTGAGAGACCGTAAACCCAAGTGTTTTATTTCTAAGGAACTGATAGCAAGAGCATACCGGCCCCTAAAATTAAACAAGAATGGTAAGAAAGTAGGAAAATTTACAAAGAAACAATTCAATTTCTCTAGGGCTGTAATACACTATTAATTTGGATGAAATCTGATTGAATTTTATGTATAATTTTTTTAGGAGCCATACAAAAGGAGTTTCCAGAAAGGAAAAAAACACCACCTAAAACTACAAAACTTGCCATTTTCTTCCTGACACAAGGATGAGACATGTGTTGTTCCATAGGTTTCTACTAGATAAAAGACCTTAAGTGAAGTGTTCTTTTTCAAATAAATGTCAAGAGTTTGCTTACTGGAGAAATGAAAGAAGAAGGCTTTCATCGTGTATCATCAGGTGTTTTGGTTTCCGTTGACTAGCACTGCGTGACAATGATGACTACAGAATTCTTTACTTTTAATTTTCAGTCTTTGCCATAAGTGTGCACAAAATTCAGCCAGGAATTGCTATTACCTATAAATAAGCCTCTGAGAGCTAGTGGTGCACACTCTCTGCCTGCTGCTTCCCATGTAAATGGGAGTAGAACTCAAAAAGGGGCACCGTATCAAATTCTGGATTGGCCCCAGGATGGTTTTTACTAGCAGATCCCCAGACACTGCAGAGGCAGTTCAGCACTGCTGGGTGGCCACGCTTACCATCCCCTCCTGGTTTAGGCATAGCAGCGACCAGTGGGTGCAAAATGGCTAGTGTCCATCGCTCATTGCCTGGAGTGATATCAGCTAGGGTGCCAGACTTGGAAGGGAGGAGAGGAAGAATCCACCCTCCCTTCCCCTCCGATCACCCTGGTGCCTGGACCGATAGACACTGGCCATGTTACATCTGCTGGCTATCATTATGAACAGAATCAGAGTGTGACAATGAGTGCCATCTAGTGACCTTGGGTTGCCAGATAATGGAGAATACAGGATAGCCGTGTAAATATTTGAAATCAGTTCCATCTTGGAACCAGTTCATGTTTTGTCATGTTTTGCTCTGGATTCTCAGAGAACCAGGCCCGTAGCCAGGATTTTGTTTCGGGGGGGGGGGGGGGGTGTTTGGGGGTGAGTTTGGTTGGGGGGGGGCTGAGTCTGAGTGAAAGAGGGTCTACCCTAGCAAACCTTTTGTATCGTTACCCCAATACCCCCATGCATATGGGATATATTGAGTATGGTGATCAGATCATGATATGAATAAACATAACAGTTTAAATAATGCACCAGTAAGGCCTTTCGTGACCACCATCAGAATTTTGAGGGGGGGGGCTGAAGCCCCCAAGCCCCCCTCCCCCCGGCTACATGCCTGCAGAGAACATTTGGAGCAGCTTGTGACTTTTGTTAACATAGTTCAAGGCCACGTTAACCCGAATCAGCTCCATATATCAAGTAGCCACTACAGAACTGATTTGCTTCCATCCTCTTTGAATAATGCATCAGTGTACATGAGCCACTCTGCTTCCATTTTTACAATCCCGGGCTTCTCATTACTATACAGATACTATCCTGAAAACTTGATAGGCAAGGAGCATATTTAGCCTGTACTACTAGCAGTAGCTTACATCAAATAAAGGAAATGTTGGCTGTGCTGTTCCTGGTAACTACTTTAATTCAGCCTGTAATTTGAATTATGGGAGTTTATGTGTATATACTGTATGTGTGTGCATGCTTTAAAAACATGGCCACTTATACAAAAGGGTTCAATTTTAGACATATGACTGTACTTACATTTGTTTTGTTCTGCCTCGTATAACTTTTAGATTTTCAAAAACACTCAGATCAGTGGCATTTGCAGGCCAATCCTGGATTGACAAAAACCCTGAAAAAGCACAAGTATTAAACATATTTACACACTATTTATTATAAACAAGAATGCCTTTCCTCTTTTTCTACTTTTATGAGAACATCAAAATGAAGAATGGCATTTCAGAGAGTTTCAGTATAGAGCTATTTTTAACATCATGTTGTAAACAGTTTACATACAGGCCACCAAGACATATAAACATTATAAAGGACAGTGTCTGAAAGCTTGAGGAGTTTGAAACACCACAGAAGTGTTTTACTTCACTTTGTAAGTCTTAGTAAAAATCTCTACATTTCAGCTAGCACAAACATAACTATCTTATCCTCTACTGAAGGCCGGTCTAGGCTGCATGAATGGAAATGGTAGACAGAGTGCAGCTGAATAGCCATCCATAAGTATATACCATATTTACTCTAGTATGTCATTGACTTTAATGCATGCTTTAATTTTCAAATGCCTGGTAGGGGAAAAATATTTGCTGGCAAATATAAAGTGCCTATTAGGCGCATTGAAGCATCTCCTGCTTCCCTGGCCAGCCGGACAGTCAGTTTAATTGGATATGATAGCAGCGGCTCCAAACCACTAAACGTAAGGGTTTCTCATGCTCAAAGTCACCCTCAAGACCCATGAGGGGTCCCCACTTTTGTTGCCCACCCAGCCATATGGCTCCCCTTTGCCACCAACCTTATTCCAGAAACGTGCAGCCCAAAAGCAGCATCACTTTTGAATGTTTGGAAGGCTCTGCTCCAAGGAGAACACAGCCTCCCTCTCCTCCTTTCCACCTTTTTCATCATCCTATTGAATTCCTTGTTGGTAATGAAAGCAGGCCCAACAAGGAACTCAATGGGAGGAAACCAACAATGTCTCTCTTGGGCTCAAATAAGGGAGGCAAAGAGCCTCTAGGCTATCCTGCAGAGTGAGCCTGAGCCTCCCCGCCTCTCAAAGGGGAGCCACGTGGGTGGGTGGCAACAGAAGTGGGGGTCCCACATGGGTCTTGAGGGTGGCTTAGAACACCAGTAAGCCCAGTCACCATCATCAAGTCCCACCAGATGACTGACTAACAAGGGAAGTGGGGTGCAGCGAAGTTGTCAACAAGTGCAGCTTCAGGCATGATTCTAATGTGCAAATGTGCATCCTGATTTGGGAGACATAGTTTACCTAAAAAAGATGTGCATTACACTCAAGTAATTATGGAATTGCAACAGAAACCTTTGTTTCTGTTGCAATAACAGAAAGAACAAATGTTTCTCTTGGAATCTTAGGGCCTTTCTACACAGCCACTAAAATACAGTTACAATAATAAATAATAATAAACTTTATTTATACCCCGCCACCATCTCCCCCAAAGGGGACTCGAAGCGGCTTACATGGGGCCAAGCCCGAACAACAAATTACAATACAAAAATACAAAATTACAATAAAATAAACAACATAACATTAAAGTATAGAACATCAAAGCATATAAACAATGTACATAGAACATAAGAACCAAACATAAGGACAAAGAGCGGGCCAATTCTAGTACACCCCAAACGTACTAGAAACAGAATATTAATAAAAACTTATCAGAAATAACAGTTCATCATAAAATTTACTACAGCTGGCCAGTAAATATCCCATGTAGAGCAGGAAACTGAGACCAAAATGTGGAGTGCTTGAAGGGCAGGGCTAACACTGAAGCATTTGGAGGAAGAAACCAGATACACAGCTCAGCTGGAAGGTAAACAAACACTTTCCCTAGAGGGAAAACTACAGTGTGTCCACAGGAATGCTCACTTTCCCTTTCTTTCCTGCCCTCCTTTCATCTAGTGATGATTTCATCGGGCAGGCTGCTTCTTATCAGTGCATTACATAGGATGAGGCAGGAAAAATATGGATTGATCCACAATCAATAGATCTTTGTGGCCACCGTCCCAGCCACCAGCTGGTTCCTGGGGTGCCTTTGTTCTCTTCAATTCATGACTAAGATTAAATGGTTTAGCCTTTTATGATCAAAATTATTAAGGATTAAACATTGATATTACTCACCTGTTATTTCTTTAACAGTTCGAAAAATATCCAACTTCTTTGGGTCTAAAGGAGGTGTATGTGTATATACATCACTAAAAGAAGATAAAAGAGTTCTTGAATGCTGATCTAAAAGCAGAATCATTCTCAGCACTTTTCTTTTCACAAAATGAAACAGCAAGCACTTACCCTTTAAATGATACGTGAAGGAATATGAGATCCCCACTTATTGTGGTACAGTTTTTGAAATAGTCAATGTTGGATCCATTCACAGCAAGAGCATTTGTAAGATTACCTGCTCCAACTCCATTGCACACTGCAAAAAAATATAGAATTAAGTCTCAGTAAGGAAATCAGGAATTAGCAAATACGCACTGCTCCCCCCCCCCCACACACATATACATACACAATGACCAATATTTCAAAATCTTTTACATAAACACAGCAATAACAGTCTCCTATGACTGCCATCATTGGAAACAAAGAAAAATGGGGACGAGTCAACCCAATTTTTATTTATTTATTTATTTATTGTATTGAACAAGGCATAAAATAACCAAGAAAACTCAAAAGTATATAAGCAAGATAAAATTCCTTTAAATTGGTCCTAAGATAACAGAAGGTTTCACACTACTGTGTATTGTATTATCCCAAAAGTTTTATTCATCATTTCCATGAATCGTATCTTGTATTTTACGGTCAGTACATTACTCTGTAGATGGCTATCCAATCAATATCCCAGTTAAAAATTCCTGCTAACCATACCACCATTAATAAATGACTAATCACCTCCAAATCTTCTTTGATGATTGTAGTCAAAAGCCAGGCCGTTACCAGGAAGTAGACAGGCAAAAGGTCAAGTACATTCATTTTTTTCTGTCTTTTTGGGGGGGTGGGGTGGATGGGGGTGCAGGGGGCACGAGGGACAGCCACTCTGCCTCCCCAGGCTGCCTTGGCCTGGAGAGCGTGGGATGGCTGTGGGGATGCTGATCTGGGATTATGCACAGAATGGGTGGGACGTTGTACCAATACAGGGGAAGGTCCTAATACTGCTGCGGAAGTTAGACCTTCCCCTGTGTTTTTCTAATCCAGGGTGTAGCTGCATTAAGCAGCTAATTCCTGGTTAACTCACTGTGTACACTGTGTGGTTAATACAGTAACATGTTTCCAGATATTTATCAACCCAAATCAGATCTAGCATCATTTTTTCATCCATTTCCTCCACAAGTGAGTGATGTAAAAATGTAATTTTAGGTGATGAATTAAAAAAAACACACAATAAAATAACACATTACACTCATTTCAGTACTAATTGTATTCAGTCACATCTAAGAACACAGAAATGTCAAAAGCAAGTTGTGACAAAGAAAATCTGAAGTCATTTTTGGATTTAGAATTTCTATAAAACTAGCACACATTTTGAAATGTTTTTATGGTCCTCAGTTTCACAGGCCTGACAGAGACTTGGAATGGTTTGTTCAAGACCTAGAAGGAACAATCTTGGTAACACATCAGTATTTTTATTACAGAAATCCATCCAAATAATTTTAGAAGGTTGCTTCAGCTCATTAAATCTTGTTTAATTTCACCAGATTCTTCTCTAGGGTGTTTGCAGTCTGGAGTTTGGCACTTTTTATTCATTCTCCATCTTGCTTAAGGGTCCCTCTGGTCAAGGGTTGCTATTTGAAGAGAGCATACATTCATTTATTGTTGCACTTTAAATGTTTATAGCCTGTCTCTCTTTTAATGTGTCTTAAAAATAAACTGTAGTAATAAAATCAATGAACAATTTCAAATAATAGGGTGGGTGAATGGGGGAAGAGAATTGGCAATTAGGAATTAGTTGATTTAAATGAGAAATTTTAGTTCAGCACTATTAAGGTTAGATTATTCCACCTCTACAAATCTGGGCATATAAATCACCCCAATTTTTGTGTCCCCCCCCCCCCAATTACATCTACATTGCAAACTTTATACTTTTTAAACATAATTTTACCATTACAACTGACATGAGAGAAGCAATATAGAGTAATGTTTAAAGTACTAGGCTTGGAACAGGGAGACTCAAGTTTGAATCTCTGCTTAGTTATGGGATCTTAGGCCACCTCTAGTTCTCAACAATAATAGGTTTCTTCAATGTCTTCAACAAGGTGTTGAAAGTGCATTAAATGGTCAGTGTAGATGGCTCCCCGGAACCCTTTTTTAAAAAAATGTACACCATACCATCTTTGTAGCATATTTATGCTTTAAATGAAAGTGGGTTTCTCTTGCTAAATAATGTTTATTTCTGAATGCAGGAGTTTTCTTTTTAACTAATTTAGATCCATGTAGTCAAGTATGGCCTTTTTTAAAAGCACAAACTTGGATGGGATGAGCAACACAATGGAAAAAGTGAAGGATTTTGAAAAGAACTGAAGGGAATTGTGAAATAATGGGGTACATTCAAAAAGTAGAAAATCTACAAAATGATATCTACAAAATAGGTGAATAGGTAATGGATGATAGATGAATTCACATGATTGGATTCAAGAGCCCTAATGCTGACTCTGGCTTTGGGTTGTATATTTCCACCAGGCCTGTAGCGGGGGGGGGGGTTAGGGGTTCAAACCCCCCCCCGAAATTTTTCAGGTTAAAAAAATAAACCTGGTTTACTCATGAATTTTAACTGGTTAACCAAATCCCCATGCTAAGTCTATGAGACGCAAAAATTAAGAGTCCCTCCAGAACTGCAAGCACTATCTCAAGCAAATATTGACAATTTATTCACACTGTCATTACTTGCAGCAATAGCGATGTAGCGAAGCAACCAAGTTGGGGGGGGGGGTGTTAAATGCTCTCATTAAGGAGGCCAGACTTGGTGGAGGTGGTTGACAGGGCGGAGCTGCAGGCTATTGAAGGCTGCTCTGCCCCCTGCTGTGCTCTTTGCTTCAGCATGAGCAAGGAGGCAGGTTTCAACCCCCCCCCCCCCCGAAATTTTCAACCCTCCCCGAATTTTTTTTCTGGCTACGGCCCTGATTACCACTGATCATTAGTCATGTGCATTTGGGTCAAAAGGCACACTGTTTATGGGTCTGTTTTTATCTGACCCCTCAGTTCATTTACCAGAAAGTTACCCAAAAGGGTAGGAGTGTTTTCCGGCCCACTGGCTAAAATTGGAAACTTTAAAGGCTCGATACTCTGCCATTTTAAGGTTTATCTGCATGAAACCTACCTCAGTTGTAGACCCCATTTATAACTGCAGGTTGTACTGATTTTTTAAAGAATTATTTTAAGTTTTAAACTTTAAGGGGTCTGGGAATTGTAGTAACTGGATGTGTCCATTATAGTCACTGGATGTGTCCATTGTAGTCGCTGGATGTATCAATTATTACCCAATCAGAGCATTGACACCACCAGGCTTTTTATTGGTGAGAGACAGAAAAAAAATCAACTCCCATCATGCTCCGAACTTTCAATGGCCCCCCTATGCTAGTGCCACTGGGAAAGCAAGTTCTAAGGGCCCTCTCTGGAGGAGAAGGTAACTTTCCAAGAAAAAATGGAATTGGTTTCTTCTGCCAGGGAGAGAAAAAGATGCCATAGGTATTTTCTCTCTGAATTTGCTTCACTGATCTTTTCCCCTCTCTCTTCCCCTTTCTGTTTTCAGATATTACACGAAACTGGCCCTCTGAAAACTACACAAAGTTTTGTTAACAGTGATTCAGGCTCAACACTAATAATCATATCTACAGTATTCATTGAGGTGAAATGGTAAGAAAGGAACAATTTCAACACGTTTAGTGCAAATTGGTTTCAAAGCTGGTTTCAAGGCTGTTAGTAATGATTTCAGGAATAATACTGTATTATGCAAAGTAATATTTAATTTTCTTACCCTTGCTACATGGCCCATCACATTTTTTACACTTCCTAATCCCATTTTCCTCCACCTCAGTGGAATCTGGATTACATGACCGGACACATGAGCCGTAGTCTGTTACAACATAGTTATCTGAAAAAGGTAGGAAGGGAGATGTAAATAATAACAGCAACAAATGAGGAAAAAGAAACATGGTCTTGTTTGCATGTGCAAACTGGCTAACAGAACTTGACTTCTAATAAAAAAAAACACATAATGTAAAAAAATATTCAAATGTACAATAAAAAATAAGGAAAAACTATAAACTACTCAATATACAACCACAGGAATACCTTTTAAAGATATTTCAGTAAGTACAAAAGGTCCCATGACCTATAGGTCTCCAAACTAATGAAGAAATCCCAAGTGTAGTGACTCATACAAAAATGCAATGGGCTCCAGAGCTGCTAATTCTGAATGGCCTGTTCATTAGAACCCCAGATTAATCAGGTACAAAGTTCAAGAAGAGCTACTCATCCCAAGTGGACAACAACTGTAAGGGGCTGGTTTAGATCAGAGAATCAATACAACACAATACAAAACTTTATTACAATCACTGACCAACACAAAGCGAGGCATAAGTGCCGAGGGAATCAGAGAATCATATAGTAGTCAGTCCTGTCCTCGGATATCAGGAGAGCATGACCCAGTCTATAGTGCTTGGCTATTACTGCTCTGCAATGGACAGTGGAAGTATGATAACATCTCCATAAGATACAAGCCACAAATTAGTGCAAAACACTCTGGCTAGAAGGCAGAAGTAAATGGATGCTTGTTTTTTTAAGACAAGGATCCATTTGCTTTTTCAAGTAATGATTTAGTAGACTTACGTGGACACTTTTTCACACAAGTGGCTCCAAAACTGTATTTTCCATCTGGGTTGTCTTCCAACTGATAGGCTGTAGGATTATACACTTGTAAAGGGGGGCAAGATTCCTTACAGGTTGCATCATCCCAAAATTTGCGGCATGCCTGTCAATAAATAAAGTAGCAATACCATGTGCAAAAAACTCTGTGTTTTAACATAGCCAGGTTGAACAATTACATTGTTAAGTGATGAAAAATAATCAAAACAACCTTTAAAAGTAATTCTGATGTCAATAATCTTATCAGAACATAATACCCATCATCTCAACACTTGGCTTTTGGCTTTGTCAGTCTGAGCATACTTCATTATCAAATTGTTTTGGAGCATAATAATGTGAAAACATGGTCAGCCTCACAATATTCATTTACAATTTCAGTTCAATGCAAAATCCAAAGGCAAAGTGAGCTCATTTTCTTGAAAGAAAATGCACTTTCATCAGATGGCTAGGTCTTACTTCTATGAAAGGAAGATTCAGATTAAAAATTCCACAAGGTGAGGCATTATTTCTTAGATCATAAAAATGCATTACAATATAACTTAACAATATAATAGAAAAACGTGAGGTGTCTCTAGTTTCCCCCTCTGTAACATTTAATATAGCTTATTTATGTCCTAACATCATATTGTTATGTGTTTTCTTGGCACAGCTACAACTTTAGCTTGAAGCAATGCATAAACTAAGGCCCCATCTGTACTGCCGTATAATGCTGTGCAGGAATGATATTAGCCTGGAACTTCCATACAATGTATAGAGGCTAATGTGATTAAATCTGGGGAAGCTACTTAATCCACCTTGACCCCAGGATAAAAAACACCGGGAAATGTTCGAATTCTGCAACAAGGTCTGGATGTTTCCTGGTGTTGGGGCAGTGGGGACTGCCATCCCAGATCCCAATGCAGGATCCAGGACCACATATCCATAGCCATTCCATGCTACCTGGTTTTAGGCAGCCGAAGGATAAAGGTGCCTTCCTGCCCCAGCACCCCACTCCTCGAACACAGCACCCCCCTCCTCGAAAAATTCACCTATCAGCAGTGCCTGCTCTTTACCCCTTATTGATTCTTCAACATTTGGGGAGCAAAGAAGCTTGGGAGGAAGAATCCCTCTCCCATCCTCTGAAGTTCCTTTGCTTCCTGAATGATAAAGAGTTGAGAAGTAAATAGTAAACAGTGCCAGTAGCAGGGATTTTCTGTCATTTCAGCACTGGAGGAGGCTTAAGTCAGCCTTGTGTGGCCTCTATGTGGCTCAGAAACAACATTTTTATGCAGGTTGTGACACATTTTGTGCCTATGGATGGGCCTTGGTTTGAGCAATTTATTAAGCATAGCCATAACACATGGAAATTACATTTTCACTTTGAATTTATTAAAAAACTCAATTTTTGCTTGGGTTATTATCAGTAAAAAAAATATGACATTCTTTTTTGAGGTAAAATGATTGTTTATCTGGGGAATACAAGGGACCAAATAATCAGTGTTTAGCAAGTTAACATAAAAGAAATTATATTCTGTAACAGATACAGGGTAATGCGATTGAATCTGGGGTAAGCCACTTAATCTGCCTTGTTCCAGGGATAAAAAAATACACATATTAAAACATATTTCCACAAAATACATATTAAAATACACAAAACCAAATGAAACATAAGAAGCAAGTTTAAAATTCACCATTAAAACCATCTGGGTAAGCCCCAGAAGCCTCTTCTTTCCATAATCAGCAGACTATGGAAATCTCTTGTATATCACTGCAGCTGTATAACTTTACAGTGCATATATATATATATAAAGCTGTTATTTGTATTGAATGTGGAATAGTGAAATATTCTCTTTTGACTACCTGTTCATTTCTGGGCACAAGGCAAAGAGCTGGTTACAATCTATAAAGTCTATATGGCTCAGGTTCATTCAGCCACATTTTCTTCATGTTTTTATTTCTTGCCTTTTTGAAGGATATATATATATATATATATATATTGTATTAAAAGTTTTTTAGTGAACATCATTTGGTAAAAGTATATAATTTTGATATCTTAGGGGAAAAGATCTGGAGGATAAAAAAAGGGGGGAGATTGGTTAGGAATGAGAGTGGAAGGGAAAGTGTAGGGTAATGGGGGGGGGGATTTATACTTCCATTCTTCTTTGTAATGGTTATTAAAAGGTCCAGTATTAATATTTAAAATGTTTAAAGAATATATTTTAAACTGTTCTTAATAATAGAGATTTTATTTTAACAATATATCTGTTTGTATCTCTTAATATATTCAATGGTACGGTATTAACATACAGATTCATTTGAAAAACACAATATAATCTCCTTACCAAGCAATCACTCTCTTTAGGGCCTGTACATCCTGCTGCACACTGTGTATGGCAACAGTCACTTGGCAACTTCCCCTTACATCGACCTGAACACTGTTCCGCACAGCCAATCTTTGTTACTGAAAAGACACACACCAAAATTAAACTGTATCATTGAAAACAAGTACTTACATGGAATTCAATGAAATATAGAATAGGTATATACATGGGGCAAGTATTCCTGTCCTAGAGCTGCCCTGAATCCATCATGTGCCTGGTGAATGGGGGGACTAGTGCCTAGATGGAGCAGGCAAGGGCTCATCATATTTCTGTCAAATTACATTGCTATCTCCTGTTTTTAAATATCCAAAGGTTTATCTTTTGTGTGTCAGTCTCTTCATTAATACTTCACACCTTATCTGAGTGATTTGAACTATTACTTTCAAGTTCCACAGGATTTTTAAAAGTTTATAAAACATTATGGTTCAAAGGTATGGTTTAAATCTTTGTTTATATTCATGATGGCATAATCTCTAATATCTTTGCACCAGTATCCATAAATTCCAGGGCACTCAAGCCACAGGAATTTGAAAGACCTGTTGCCTCTCCCTTACTAGCTATGATCCATTTTTGTTTATTCTATGAGAATGTATAAATACACTTTATACACCCCCTATAAGTTTGGAAATAAGTTTTCAAGACATTTTCCATCCAATGGGATATGGAACAGAGAGCAGAAAATGGCTAGATACAAAAATAATCCAAACCTAAGCTCTCCATCCTCAGGTCTACCTCAAAGGGCATTCTAGTACACAGCCATGCTACTTGGCCATTTAACTGGAAATGTAGGTTGATCTATGCAGACTCAGAAGGAGTCAAAAACTCTCAAGGTCTGCTCTCTTCATCTCACCACTTATGACGATCCCTCAACTCTGTAGAAACCGTTAGTGCAAAATCTTGAATTTGTACTTTAGGTTGTGTTGGGTAGAAAATGAAATAAACTGTTCATTCTTTGGATTAGATCAGTTACACCAAGTCAATTATGTTAGAAGAAAACAGAGAAGAACCATGACAAAGAAAGTCTAGGTAATTGATCTATTGCTTATAAAGTAACAACCCTTTTTACTCACAGGGAAAATCAATGCATATACTTACATATTTGGCAATTTTCAAAGTCAGGGCCCCAGCAGTGCCCACTTGTACAGTTGGGATGGCATGGGAGACCTAGGAAAGAGGGCAAATATGTATTTTTCAGGTGTCTATATTAACTTAAATTATTTCATGATGATTTTAGAGTAAAAGTCAAGTGTTCAAAACACTTCATCCCAAAGGGGCCATTAGACAGGCTATGACAGTTTTGAATTGCAGTTCTCAAAAATATGAGGAATAAATTAGTAAGCGTGAAACACAGTATGAATTATCAAGTTGTGCTGGTATTTTGGCAAGCATCAGTCATGGCAATGATTGATGATCAGGCAACCAGGAACAATATTGCCCTCTCCATCGCAGTGACAGTGACAGATATAGTGCTGGTAAGAGTGGACTCCCTTTCATTGCTGGGATGACATGGAGCTTGCACTACTGCTGCTCAGATGCTGGTTGTACTCCACTCCATATCAGCCCCAGGGTATATAGCCCATGTAGATGCTAGAAAGTGAGTTCTGCATTGAAGCAGCAGCGAGAGAGGAAAAGCAGGAGGAGGAGGAGGAGGAGGAGGGGGAGGAAGAGGAGGAGGAGGAGAACAACAACAGCAGCAGCAGCAGCAACAACAACAACTTTATTTTTCTACCCCGCCTCCATCTCCCCAAAGGGACTCGGGGCAGCTTACATGGGGCCAAAGACATAACAGAAAACAATCTCAGGACATCTGATTGCTCTATAATTGAAAGAGTGAAAAGAGAAGTAGATATGTATAAACAACGGCTAAAATTAGTGAAAAGTATAGATAGCTTTACTGTGAAAGTCAGAAAAGCTGGGTGATCAATGACATTTGCAGAAGATATTGGTCAGAGGTGAGAGGACTACATCCCCCCCCCCCCACACACACACACAAGTTTAATTGCAAATATATGAAGAACAGGGAAAGAGTACAAGAGTGGATATAGAACAGGGGCATTTTTAACATCTTACATCTTCGTCTTCTTCCATTGTTAACTAATACAAAAAAGTTTTCTATGATGTTAAAAAAGAAAAGGGGGGGGGGAGAACATTTCTTTTCTAATCTAAAATAGAAGGATAGAAAAGCGGGTGTACAATGTTTTGAAACATAGGAGATAAGAGTTAAGAAACTGAAAATAGAAAGCCCTAACAAACGCTTCCTACCCTATTCATTTTGTCATGAAACTACTTATCCCTGGTAGATTAACTTTCCAGGATCCCTTGGATATCATTGGCAATCCTGCTATTCTTGTCAGTAACTTCTCTATTTTTCTTTTCTTGTTATTACTATATCTCTGTAGATACTTTTAATTTTTCCTTAATGCAACAGAAAAGAGGACTAAGTTTTGAAGACTTCAATATGTATCAAAGCAGTAAATGAGCAGAGCAGGAAGAGACAGGAATTTCTACATTTGTTTTTACAATATTATCCAAAGAGAAAGAAAATGCCTTTCCGTATTGATCAAACACCACTGAAAAGAAGGAAAAAGTAATAAACCAGGAATGGTGAGAGTATGTTTCTGCAGACTCCACAGCACAGGCTATGATGACTAAAATTGGGAAACTATAAACATAAGGGAAGCCACATCTCTCACCTCCTAAGAACCAGAAATGCTTTCAATTCATTTATTCTATTCTCTGGATATTTTTATGTCCACTCAAGTCTCATCAAAATTTGATTGTCTTTTGAACATAAAACCTTTTAGAAAAAGTGAATGCCAATTCTATATTATCTCTTTCTAGAGAATTTATTTCTCTTCTGATAGATAAGAATTAGTCATTAACTCAGGGATAGAGGAATTGTGGTTCAAGAACTTCACACACCACATAAGACTATCTGGAGGTCCCTATGTCCCATTACTTCCAAAATATTTTTGAGTTTCCAGTATCTGCAGGATGTTTTACCTGCAAGGAGATCTAAAGGAAATTTTAGCCGTGTTTTTACACACCCTTCCTGGCTAGTCTATGGTAAACCCCGTTACTTCTTCCCTCCTTATTCTTCAGTGCATACTTACAAGTTTTATTGCTAATCGCTGGCAATGTATCTTTTCTTTCAACAGCATCAAACAGCAAAAAACCTCTGGATGATTCTATAATGTCATCCCACAGAATATTATTCATGTTGCAGAGATAAGGGTTACCAACTATTTTAACACCTCCATTTAAAATTTCTGCCAAAAAAAATGAAGACAAATACATTAAGAAATGACATCATTTGTTTTTCACTCTTTAAAACACAGTGGTTGATAGAAAACTAGTTTTAATTGTCTGAATGGCAGTTTAATGGGGCCAAATTAATTAGCATGGTTCTGTTGATAATATTTGGGTATGGAAAACACATGTTCAAAGCTAATGGCACTGTAATTTCACTATTACAATTTGTAAATTATTAATTATTTCTGCTAATTGAAGGAGCCTCATCTTTACCATACTTCTAGGACCAAACAAGCTAGGTGAACAATTGTGGAAGGACCCATATACACTTGGATCTTCTGCATTTGCTCATCTTGTACCATGGACAATTCTCTTTAGATGGATCTAAGTCTATGAGACAGGGCGTAAGTCTCATGAGCCTCTTCAGATACAATTCTTATCAATATGGATATTTTCCATCAAGCATAATTCAATTCTATGCACATCTAATCAGGAGTAAGTCTCACTGTACACCAAAGCTAAATAGTATGTGTCTTCAGACACTGACTGCATATTGTAAAATGTTAATTTCATTTCAAATCATGCAAATGTATCATGCAAACTTGGTTTTGACCACAACACTACTGAGTAACTGTTAGGAAGACACAATTTTATGAGGGGGAATGTAATCCCTATGAATATGTAGGTGGGGAAACCTAAGGAAGGATTGTGCTGGCTGGTAGAGTTCAGCAGCAGCTGGCAGGGCAGCTGCAGTATTTTCCATTGTGTATTTAGGAGGGAAAATGGGGCAAATGCTTGCGGTTTCTATATTGCATTTGCATCTATTTTGTAATTTTTTTGTATTTACTAATTTGGGGCTTTAAGGGTGCACCAAATATTTCAGTACTGTTGAACAGCACAGGCAGAAGAATTCTGTAACCATGTCCTCACTACCTCTCAGGATGCAGGTGAAACATCAGGAGAGAATGCCTAGAACATGGCCATATAGCCTGAAAAAACCTACAACCCATGTCCTATATGGATGGGCACCTTGTCGGGTATATAGCAGTTTTAGGAATATGCCAATGTGTCAAACTTAATATATAATTTGTTGTGTTGTTGTTAAAATAGTGAGAGACTGAGAATGCAATTACATTTGCTTTTGCATTCTGAATCTCTCACAGCATTTTCCCAGGCTTTAAACTGTCACCTTCTTAAGGTAACCAGAAAAGCTTATGGGGTAAATGAGGCAGTTTCCAAGGATGCATTCTGCCATAAGGTTGGAGATTCACCTCCTATTGCACTGTATACCAACCTATGTTTGTGAGTTGCTCTGAAGACTCTAAAGCAGTAGTTCTCAACCTGGGGTCCCCAGATGTTTTTGGCCTACAACTCCCAGAAATTCTAACAGCTGGTAAACTGGCTGGGATTTCTGGGAGCTGTAGGCCAAAAACATCTGGGGACCCCAGGTTGAGAAACACTGCTCTAAAGAATGAGCGAATTAAACAAACAGCAATTATAATAATAGCTATATGATTACTATCAAGGAATTAATAATCCTTATTTTAGTTCATGTATTTCACCAAAAAATAAAGGAAATCGGGCAAGAAGTCCAGATGTTTGTGATTCACTGTTGACCATTGCTTTTGCCATCTTTCTTACCTGCTAAACGTCTCATTGGTAGTTCTTCGAGGCCCTCGATTTCATTGTAATTTAGTAAAATCGTGAGTGCAGCATTTTCATAAAGGGTGTTTCCTCGGATTATCTGGAGATTCTCCAAAGGAATAACTTTCACTGTGTTTAATGCTATGAGCACATAACCAGCCACCTCCTGTATGCTCTGAAGGGCGCACAACAGAAAGACAGAATAATTAGTCATTCTTATTTTCTTTCATTTTGGACTGTGTGAAGAAGTCTTAAAATGTGTGTATTAGAGTGCTCCCTTGTTATTGTTGCTTCTCCATTCCATGTTTTGAAGAATGTACCAGTTAGTATAGTGAATTGCTACTTGGATAGTAGTTACTTACTGTGAGCCCTGGCATACCTTCCAGAGGATTCTTTATGACAACAAGATATGACAAGGCTGTGCATTGCTACTACAAGAGCTACTACAGGCAGTCATTTTCCTTCCCATCTTCACTTGAACTAAAACAATATGACAGATGACACAAACCTTCAAGAAAGTGAGATTATAGTTTGGTTCCAGACAAGTGATCTCCAGGTTGCCAAGTACCACTTCACAGTCTTCATACATTCTTTTTAAGCTGTTGTAATGATCTTCCACACTTCCAAGCTGTGACAGCCTGTTGCTGGTTCCTTGACAAACTGTAGAAAAGGGAATAAAAATAATAATAAGTGACACCCTCAGCATAAAAGCTACAAAAAGTATGGTTTATTTAAGAGCCTATTCTTTATTCTTTTCAAGGTTATGAAAATCTCACACAATGTCAATGTAATGTTTCTGAACAAATGTCTTCACGTAAGGAACTTTTAATAAGTGCCTTATTCTATAATACAGTGATACCTCGAGTTAAGAGTTTAAGTGTTCTGTGATTGTGCTCTTAACTCAAATCACTCTAATCTCAAAGCGAGTTTTCCATTTAAATGCACTGAAATCCATTCTGCCCCCCAACACCCCATTTTTGTTACATATTTTAAAATATGAAAATGTAATAAAAAGGGAATAAAAATAATAATAAGTGACACCTTCAGCATAAAAGCTACAAAAAGTATGGTTTATTTGAGAGCCTATTCTTTATTCTTTTCAAGGTTATGAAAATCTCACACAATGCCAATGTAATGTTTCTGAACAAATGTCTTCAGGTAAGGAACTTTTAATAAGTGCCTTATTCTATAATACAGTGATACCTCGAGTTAAGAGTTTAATGTGTTCTGTGGTTGAGCTCTTAACTCAAATCACTCTAATCTCAAAGTGAGTTTTCCATTTAAATGCACTGAAATGCTATTAATCCATTCTGCCTCCGAACACCCCATTTTGTTACATATTTTAAAATAAGAAAATGTAATTTATAAATAACAAGCAATATAAAAATCCACATTCACATGGAAAAATAAAAAAGAAAGATCAACTTTAAAATGGCAACAAAATGTAACAGCTAGGCAAAATCTTCACATTCACATGGAACAATAGAAAAAGAAAGATCAACTTTAAAATGGTAGAAACACAAAGTTATGGCACAATAGTAAAAGCACAAAGTAGTGGCAACGAAGCACAAAGTGAAGAGGCAGAATATAAATAAAATATTATTATTATTATTATTATTATTATTATTATTATTATTATTATTATTATATCTTTATTTGTACCCTGCTAGCATCTCCCGAAGGACTCGATGCGGCTTACAAAGGCCAAGGCCTCAAAACATAACATAACAATACACAACCTAAAGCAAATAAAAACAGTTAACGCGATATTAAAACAAGCAATAAAACAATACACCATGACACAATAAAATTGGGCCGGGCCAGAGTAATGGGTACAGATTAAAAGTGCTGATGTGACAGGTGATATGTAGGATTATAGGGTAAGTGCAGTGTGCCGGCAATCTTAATTTCTACTAAAATGCTTCTGGGACTTGTTGTTGGAGTTTTCCTATTCTGGAAAGGCACATCGGAACAGTCAGGTCTTCAAGTTCTTCCTAAAGACTGCCAATGTAGGGGCCTGTCTAAGATCTTTGGGGAGGGCGTTCCAAAGTCTGGGGGCCACCACAGAAAAGGCCCTGTCTCGCGTCTCCACCAGACGCGCCTGCGACGTAGGCGGAATCGCGAGCAGGGCCTCTCCAGATGAACGAAGTGAACGCGTGGGTTCGTAGACGTAGATGCGGTCACGCAGGTTGGATGGTCCCAAACCATTTAGGGCTTTGTAGGTAAGCACCTGCACCTTAAATTGGGCTCGGAAAATAAAGGGCAGCCAGTGGAGCTCCTTGAACAGGAGGGTTGACCTCTCTCATTCGAGCCTCCCTCCCTCTTTTGATCTCTCCTTTTCTTCATGAACCCAAACATACCAGGAATAGAAACCACATGAAGTCAACTAACCTAAAGTTCCTCAAAGCAGACAAGAGCAAGGTAGACCATAATCTCCCAAAGTGAACAAGAGCCCGAGGCATGAAGGCCGGAGACACGAAGCATGGAGGCTGCTCCCATGACGCTCTAAAGCCCTGTACTCTCGCACCAGCTTTCCCTCTGGCTCTAGCACTCCCTCTGGAGTTAGTGCTCCCTCTGGTGCTAGCTCTTAATGCAAAATGCTGCTTGCATATCAAAGTGAAACAAGGGCAGAGTGATGGCTCTTAACTCAAACACTCTTAAGTGGGACACTCTTAAGTCAAGGTTCCACAGTAACTACTTTCCAATTTTGTTGAGGATATGAAATATTGTAGACAAGCAGCTATGGTTTTTGAATAAATATTATGGATCTGCAAGCTCACAAGCCACCTGAAGCAGCAATATTTTTAATTTGGGAAGGCAATCACACAAAAATGACAATATACTTTAGCTAACTCCATCGGTTTTATCCAATTGTCATGTTATTTAAAACACTTTATATTTTTTAAAGAGTAACCAATAAAATATTAAACAATAAAAACAATCAGCAATGAAACCAGAATAAAAGCTTTTCTGTATAAAGAAAGTAGCAACACATTGCATTTAAACAGGATCAGTATCAGAATCAATGTATTGGAATATAAAATAATATAAAAGGTAATTTAAAAATCCCAGAGAGAATTTAGCTTTTGCTAAATAATCAAAGTGTTGATACCTCCCTTGTTGAGTCAGGGACATTTCACATACAGAGCACTCTAAGTTGCCAACCAAAGAGAAGGCATCTTCCCAGTTGCTACCAGCTCAAATATCATCCAGTGGCCAAATCCAGAGAACAGACCTTGATGCACTTACTTGGGGGGGTTCAAATTATAGATGGTCCTTTTGACACTTTCATTCTAAACTGTATAGATATTTGAAATGTCAAAAACAAATCCACCCATTGAATCTGATTGTACAGTGGGAGCCAGAGTAGATATATAAACCCCTTTACTTCTTCCCTCCATTTTAAAGCATGTAATGAACTATTCTAGTTCATTATATCTAAAGGTTGGTTTTTTTTGGCAGATTTGTTGATTGATTTTTTTTTCAATATTGGCAAACCAAAAATATGGGATGAAAAAAGAGACATAACTGTTCACAACCTACAAATAACCAATGCAAAATTTAGGATGACTCATATGAATAAGTATTCACATGATGTTGGCTAAGAACCCAACACTATTTCAAAAGGCCTAATTATGCAATTCAGTTGGAAAAAACTAATAGCTTGACATAAAGAACAATTAATGTTGTACAAGATTATGGCTGACTAATTTGGGACAGTGGATTAGACTGTGCCTTATATTCTATTGTTAGCAAGATTGCAAAGGCAAGGTAAGAGAAGGGGGCACTATTTTTAACCTATTCAAGAAGACCAGCACTTAAAGCTGACCTATGTGAAGTATGCTCAACTTGGAGAGGATGAAACAGAGGATGCAGTAGGGAAAATGCAGCACAGAATAGGTAAAGAATAGGAATATTTGACAAATCTAGTGATTTCAAGTCTCCTGAGCCAGATGAGGAGCCATTGATAAGTACCAAGGGTGCTTTTAATACATCCAAGGGTATTAAAAGAATTGTCAGAAGTATTTTCAGAACCAATGGCAATCATCTTTGAGAATTCTTAGACAATAGAAGAAGTTCCACCAGACTGGAGGATAGTATATCCTGTCCCCATCTTCAAAAAAAGGGGGAAAAGTAGACTAAAACAATTACTTCCCTGCCTGAGATCAGTACCAGGAAAGATTCTAGAGCAGACTATGGGGAATTAGTTAACTGGCCAAACCCAAAAGGTAAGTAACTGAATTGCAATTATGTGCCAATGATGAACATGTACTTGCTAAATGTATAAGATGCTATTGAAATGGGAAATAGCAGACAAGCAAGTTAAAGAAGGTATGACAAAGAGGGCACAAAATGTTGAGCATAATATAATGTTGGATGAATAAGAGAAAATGTGGAACAAGGGGTTATATTTTATGTTATGTTATAACTTGAAAGATATTTTTTTATAAAATGATATATTGATGTATTACTCTTGAAAACCTTTCTAAGATGTATAAAGAGGTTTCCAAAAATGTGGTAGACATATAAAGATGCCAAGAAATACTGGATTCAAATACATAAGGTGATCCAGAAAGTTTTGGGGGAAAATATCCAGTTAAAACCTGAGACTTTTCTATTTGGTCTGAATGTTAAAAAATGACCATAATAAACTGTTGCAATATATTATCACAGCAGCCAGATTGGTCTACGCACAGAAATGGAAGAACTCAGCAGCACCAACAACAGAAGATTTGATGATAAAAATGATGGACTTTGCCATGATGCACAAATCAATCTGTTTACTAAAAGAAGGGATATTGGATTTTTTTTTAAAGACTGGAAACCCTTTGTTCACTTTTTGTGCAAGGAAGAGAAGGACTTGCTGGTGTTGAGTTTTGAAGGATAATTTAAGGGTGGGGTGGTGGTGGGGGGTTGAGAAAGGAGTCAATATTGGGAGGCCTAGAGGGTGAAGCTTATATTGTTTTCTTTTGGCCAGGATAGGTCAGAGATCATCTACATTTTCTTTTTGTTTCCTTTTTTCCTTAGCATTTTTTGTGTATATACTTTTAACACTTTCAAAATAAAGTTAATTAAAAATAGTATTGGAAAATCTAATCAGGTATTTATTCCAAATATGTCTCTATAGTAAACCTCTATGAACAAATCAGGGACACTTTCATTTCTGGCATTGAACATTGTATTTCATTTCATCCCGATTATGAATAAAACTAATTGTCGTATGTAAGATATGCCACTTTCTGACTGTGTCTATATAATAGACGTGTGTGTCTATGAAACACATACCTTTCAAAAATTCAGGAAAATTCAGTGAAATAAACATTTTTGACAATTGAAGGCAGTGACATAAGAATGACACTAACTGTGATTCATTTCCTTCTTATTCAGAATCAGGGTGTTCTCTATGATTTCCTGTTGAAGCATCACCTGATCACACCCTTGTGCAAAGCTATGGGAGGTTATATTTCAAAAACTCAGTCAGTTCCAAGTGCAAATACATTAAGCCAACAAACCAAGTGTATCTGCGTCAGAGTTTGTACCATAATTATCATTTTGGTTTCAATATATCCAATTATTCAGCATTCAGTTCCCTGCAGTTCTTGCTTGTAAAGCTCTGTTTACCGTCCTGTCACTGTCTAGATAATCATTAATCACAGCTA